TGTTGTGAGGGGCTGAGGAGGGCGGCCGGGAAGCGATTTACAGAAGGCCGGCCGCAACACCTCCAGTGCCTTGTCTTCCTCCCTCCTCCTTTCTCTCCTCTCCTTTTCTCTTTGTCTCTTTCTGTTCTCGGTCTCTGCCTCTCTTTTTCTGCATCTTTCTGCCTCTCTCTGTTTGACTCTGACTCTCTCCTTTATTGCTGCCTCTCCCCCCAGGGACTTAAAAACCTCCATACACTTCTTCATTCCCGCTTTTGAGGCCCTGGTTGTTTTTTGTGGGTTTTTTCCCCCCCTCTACTCCTCTCTTCTGTGCTCCAGGGTTTTCCCTCAGTCCTTGTCTGTCCCCCACAGTCCTGTCCCACTACACCTCTTGATTCTCCCTCCGTCCCATGGCTGTAAAAATAAACAGAAGAAGGGTCTTAAGCCCCTCTCCTGTCAGTCTGGGAGGTTAGAGGTTTGTGCCTGGGGTGGGGGTGGGGGGGCTGTCTGAGAGGGATGGTCCATGCATCCGCCAAAAACTGCTGTGTGGCGTTGCTCAAGTCACTTGCCTGTGCTAAACCTTGGCTCCCCGCAACACCTGGAAAATGGTGTGCTTTGAAGGCCCTGAGTTCTTTCCACTTCTGGGGAGGATCCTTACTCTGGGGAACACAGTTATCCGCCATTGTCACCCCAGAATCTCAGCTTCAGGCCTGTGTGTTCACATCCCCTTCATGCCTGGGGAAGGTAAAGCGCAGAGTCAGGCCCCAAATGCCAAAGTTTTTCCTCAGTCTGGGCAGAGGAGTGACCTGGCAACCCCACACTTAAAGGCCTTGTGAGGGATGCGTTCAAGATCCCAGCTCCGGGCTGGGAAGGTGGCTCAGTGGTAGAGCGCTTGCCTTGCATGCCTGAGGCCCTGGGTTCGATTCCTCAGCACCACATAAGCAAAAAGCCGGAAGTGGCGCTGTGGCTCAAGTGGTAGAGCGCTAGCCTTGAGCTGAAGAGCTGAGGGACAGCGCCCAGGCCCAGAGTTCAGGCCCTACAACTGGACCAAAAAAAAAAAAAAAAAAAGACCCCAGCCCCCACCTCCACTATTCATTCCCTGGGGTGGTGGTTGTGGGGTTACTGCTTCTTAGTTCGGTGTTTGCCACACGGACGAGGCTCAAGCTGTAGCTATGGCATGAGTGATGGAGCGAGGGAGAACTCCACCATAAGAAGCCACTAGCCAGTGGGTGAGGAGAGAGAGAGGAAGGTGGCCTCAGATGGGCCAGGCAGGGTGGGAGGGGGTGGGGAGAGCAGGGGACTCAGACATCTCCAGGTTAAACTGAGGAGCTGACAGATGGGAGACTCTTGGAACTCCAAGGTGACTCCAGGTCTCTGTGCCAAGAGGCTACCCTCATCTAGGACTGGGCGACCCCACCTACCACCCTCCGCCCTCACCAACAGAACTCTCCCCAGGCCTTTGCCTGCACTCCCCTACCTCATCTTACCAGCTGTGGCTGCACAAGGGAGCAAGGAGCTCTGTTTGAGAGGTCTCTCCCACTCCTGGGATGAGGTTGTTCATGTTAAAGAAAAGGCCATTTGTAGACGTTTGTACCTGTCCACGTCACATGCTCACTCATACCTCCAGCAGTTCTAACCTTTCACCACTTACAAGTTTAGAGCTCCTTCAGACCGCAGTTGTCCAGGGGACAGGAAGATCCTTTGGAGTCACTGTGTGGCGAGGCCAAGATATGGGCAAGAGGCCCAGGGCCCAGCCCTGGGTCAGGAATGAAGGAGGCAGGATTGGCTCAGGAAGTGGGATTCTGGCCAAGGCTGGGGAAATCCAGAACAAAGTGAGGGATGGAGAGGGCAGGTAGAGATCTGGGAGGAGCACTTCTCCTGAAGCAGCAGCGGTTTCTTTTCCACCCTGGCCTCCTGAAAGCCACCCCTAGGCACACTGAGTCCTCCCCTCTTCCTGCCTTAGTAGCTGGGTACAGATTTGGGAGTTCCTTTCCATCTGACTCCGGGCACCTCTCCCCCAAGAGGTCCTCCCTGACTGAGTGGCCACTCTCTACTCTCCTGTCATCCCTGGCTGCTTTCCATGTGCTAAGCAGACCCCAGCCACCCTAAGCGTAGGTTTTTGTTTTTGTTTTTGTTTTTTTAAATCACTGTCCTGCTTTCCAGATGGGGACACTGAGGCTCAGAGAAGTCTAGTGGCTCACCTAGGTTCAGTAGCCAGTGAACAGCAGAGCCAGGACTACTGCTCAGACCCGACAACTGCAGCTGGTCTTGCTTATTGGTTCAACCCAGGAATGTCTGTGAAAGGCCCACAGCTAGGGAGGTGCCTGGGAAATGTGAGTTCCTGGGTGCAAGGGCTTCAAACCCTGGCTCTGCCATAGACTCACCGGTACCCCAAGACAAGCAGTTGCTCCTCTCCAAGCCTCAGTTTCCTGGTCTTGGTCATAATCACATCTCACATGATATTTTTTGGTCAGTGTATGGAGGTAATTGTCTTTCATTATCATCGTCATCATCGTCATCGTCATCATCTTTTCCTTTTTGTGGCTGTACTGGAGATTGAGCTCAGGTCTTCATACTTGCTAAGCAGGTGCTCTACCACTTGAGCCATGCTCTTTTCCTGTCCACTTTCTCTTTAGCAAGAAGGTACCAAGTATGTTGCAGGCAGAGGCCACATCCGTGAACAGTCATCAGTTCTAATTTGAATGTTGAGTGTCAGCTTTATCTTAATATGTTATTAAAAATAAATAAAATGACTGAACAGCTGGGTGCCAGTGTCTCTCGCCTGTCATCCTAGCTACTCGCGAGGCTGAGATCTGAGGCTCATGGTTCAAAGCCAGCCTGAGCAGAAAAATCTATGAGGCTCTTATGGCCAATAAGCTACTCAGAAAATACTAGAAATGGTCTGGGAATGTTGCTTAGTGGTAGAGTGCTTGCCTAGCATGCATGAAGTTTAGTTCCTCAGTAGCACATAAACAGAAAAAGCTGGGAGTGGTGCTGTGGCTCAACTGGTAGAGTGCTAGCCTTGAGCAAAAGAAGCTCAGGGAAGTGTCTAGGCCCTGAGTTTAAGCCTCAGGAACAGCATCCTCCCCACCCCCCCAAAAAAGAGGAAAGCACTTGCTGTGAAGAGGAGCTTGGCCTCAGGCTGTAAGAACAAAAAGCCACCAATTATGGAAGGGAGTGAGCAGGGGCTGGGAGAGCCAAGTAGCAGAGGGCAGTCCAGCCTTGTCACAAGGCGGGTCTAGGGAAGCCTTTCCAATAGGACTCTTGAAGTGGCTCGCTCAGCCAGCCTCCTTCTTGTCCTCTCAGGTTGGGTTTCACTAGTACCCTGGACAGCGGCTTTGGCCCCTCTGAGTGCTGGCAGCCATCGGGGCACACCGGGTTTCTTTCTGGGAAACAGAGATAGAAGAGTTGGTAATCCATCCTTCAGGAGAAAGAACCAGCCCCTGTCTGCAGAAGTGGACCAGATGTAACTGACACTTCAGTGAATCAGTGTGAATTGGGTGGAGGTGCTGATAGCACCCAGCACCCTTGAGTCCCCCAACACATACCTAGTGTCCCTTCCCCAGCATACCCCTTTCTCCTTGCTGGAAGTTACCACAGTCCTTACCTTTGGGATGCTTGTTTGTTGCCTTTTCCATCATGTAATATATTCTGTTCGTTTATTATTACTGGAGATTGAACTCGGGGCCTCACACTTGTTGCCTGGCCTGGACTTAATCCTCCTATGTGTGGCACAGTGCTGGGATGGCAGGCCTGTGCCACTGCACACAGTCACTGGTAGAGATGGAGCCTTGTGAACTTTGTTTTTTCTGCTTGAAGTGATCTCAAAATGGGATCCTTCAGTCTCTGCTTCCCCCGTTTTTTTCCCTTTCAATTTTTTACTTTCTTATTTTTTGGTTGGTCATGGCACTTGAACTGAGGGCCTGAGCATTGTTCTTGACTTTTTCTGCTCAAAGCTAGGGCTCTACCTCTTTGAGCCAGAGCTCCATTTTTGGTTTTCAGGTGGTTCACTGGAGAGAAGAGTCTCACAGGCTTCCCTGCCCTGGCTGGCTTTGAACTGCAGTCCTCATATTTCAGCCTCCTGAGTAACTAGGATTATAGGAGTGAGCCACCAGTGCCTGGCTGTGTATTCTTTTTTTAATATAGCATTTTGCTATATTGCTTAAGCTGGTTTCAAACTGCCGGCTGAGAAGCAAAGCTCGGATCCTGAGCTCAAATCCTGGTACCAGCACAAAAACAAAAACAGTTCCAAAAGTCTGGACTGGAGTTGTGGCTCAAATAATAAAGTGCCAAGAGCAAAAGAGCTGACAAGAGCTGGAGTTCGAGCCCTAGTACCAGAATTTTTAAAAAAGAAAGAAAATGTGCCATGATTTGGATGTTTTGCATAAATAATACGAATGTTTGTAAACTGTTCAGTGAATTACTTTTTTCTCTCAGTAGTTCCTAAAGAAGTTTATATATTCATTTCCATAGACTTATTCATGGCTATGTAGGATTCCCAAATATGGATATACTATAATTTACTTAGCTGCTGTCCTGTTGGAGACAGCAAGGTTGTTTTTGATTTTTCTTTTTTTTTGGTTGGTTGTGGGGCTTGAATTCTTGGCCTGGGCGCTGTCCCTCAGCTCTTCAGCTCAAGGCAAGTGCTCTACCACTTGAGCCACAGCGACACTTCCAGTTTTCTGAGTGAGAGAAGAGGACTTTCCTGCCCAGGCTGGCTTTGAACCGTGATCCTCAGATCTCAGCCTCCTGAGTAGCTAGGATTACAGGCGTGAGCCACCGACATCCGACTGTGTGCCTGGTACTGCTAATGTCCTAGGACTACTACAGTGAACAAAATGGGAAAGAACGCCACTTCAGAAAGCTTATATTTTAGATGGTAAAATTCCATCCAGCAGTAAAATTCCAGTCAGAACATCATATTTTAGCCCTATTTCTAGTCCTATTTCTTCATAGTATAGGATGTGGTAAGAAAATAGGAGTACGTTATGGAGAAGAGTGCGGGGGGGGGGGGGGGGGGAGAGGGGGCTTCCCGAAGGAGGGCTGGCAAGGACTGGCAGTATTCAAGAGGGGGATGGCGAAGTACTTGGCATCCTCCAGTGTGCTGCTTGTGTGGGGGAGGAGATATCCGGTAGGGCCCTGGAGACCATGGCTCAGGGAAATCAAGGAGTACCCTGGAAAGCTCTGGATGGATCCAGAATGCGGGTTGAATAGAGGAGGATACATTTCAGCCGTTGGACAGCTCCCTGCACAGGGATGGGCCTGTAGACTCCGGCTGTACACAACTTGGGGAGGGGAAGAGGGTGGTCAGAGCTAGTGAAGAGCTGGAAGGTTGCTGGCACTCTGCAAAGTCTGGGCACAGTGGGAGATGTTGGGGCACCTGAATTGAGAGCAGAAGGTCCAGCCACGGATGCATGCTCCTTTGGAGACTGTGGAAGGTGGGGATGGGTACCAAGGATCCTGTCTGGGGGAGACACACACAAGCCAGGGTGAGCTGGGCTTCGGGGCAGCACGACCCTGGGTCTGCCTACCTTCACCCTGACGCGAAGGTGGTAGTGGGAGGCGGAGGCCTGCGCCAGCCCTCCTGCAGAGAAAGCTGCAGTCCCTGCCTGCTCTCTCACTTGCACACTGTCCCTCCGCTGGATCATCCATCCATCCGTCCTACTTGTTCTTGTGTCTGTCTGTCAAGCCATAGAACTTCAGAGCTGGAAGAAGTCTTAGAGCTCTCCTCCAGCCCACCTCACACTCCACTCTGAGATGGAGAAATGGAGTCCTAGAGCATATAGAGGACTTCAGCCCTCTATCTTTTCTCTTCTTTAAGTCACAGCACAGAGTTTCTCTTCTTGCTGGAGGTGAACTAAAAATTTTGGTGGATTTGGGAAACCGCCAGTGGTAGGCAGCTACGATGAGGAGTGTATGGATCAGTAGGAATTTGTAAAGCACCTGCCAGTTGCCTGGTCTGTAGGCCGAGTTGCGTCCAAGACACATCTTCCAGTTTCCCCCCAGACCTGCTCCTCTTACCACTGTCTACCGGAGATGGCCTTGACATCTGCCCACCTCAGGCCTTCTTGCTTGAATTTCTGTGCTCATCTTCATTCTCATGCCTCCATCCTCTTTAGTACCCAGGGCACTGCCCCAGCCCCCCACTCCATGGCCATCCTGCCTCCAGTGTCACCCCATGATTCTGTCCTTACACCAGCCCCAAAGGACCTTCCTCATTCAAAAATCTGTCAGAAGCCTTCCACTTACAACATCTTATCTAGCCTCAAGGCTCAGATTTCTTCCTGCCATGACCTCTCCCCCCACCTCTCTCCTGACAGTACTGGAGTTTGAACTCATGAACTAGCCATGCTTCCTGTCCTAACGGGGCCTGCAAGGCCCTGTTCTTTGGCTCTGCCACCTCTGCACTCTTTCCTTACCTTCCTCCTTCACACTGTTCAAGCTGTACAGACTTCTTGTCCCCTCCCAGAATGACCACAGCCTCCTCTGTTCCCACTGTCTGGAGTGCCATCCCATATGTCTTTTGCCTGAATGCTGTGCTGAATTGCTGTATAAATGCCACCTCTTTAGGACAGCTTTCCTTAGGACACCTTCCATTTTTACATATGCGTTTTTCTTGAAAGCATTCCTTAAAAGTGTTTTTCCAGGATTGGGTGTGGTGGTGCACCTCTGTAGTCCTAGTTACTCAGGAGACAGAAGTTATGAGGATTGGTGTCCAGAAACAAAGAACAAGGGCCTATGTGAAAAATAACAGAAACATAAAAGGGTCAGGGGTGTGGTCAAGTGAAAGAGCTTCCACCTACTAACTGCAAGGCCCTGAGTTCAAACCCCAGTACTACCACGGGAAGGAAGGGAGGAAGGAAGAGAAGGAGGGAGATAGGGAGGGAAATATTGTTCCAGTTTGGAACTTCAAATTTTAGACACTCTCTTCTGAAAGAAAAGCTTTATGGAGGCAAAAGCCACCTCTTCCTTTTGCGTTCACCCCTTGTGTTCTCAGCCTACTAGAGACACGTAGAGCACAGGTTGCATCCTTGTTGATGGGTTGTTACCCCATCTATGGATCTGATTTCCTCCAGCTTTCCCCCTCTGGCCTCCAGCTCCTTCCCTCCTCCTCTGGCTAATGTTCCCCAGGCTATCCCCCAATCTGTGACCTCTCCATCTCTGTCTCCAAAATCGCCAGGATTGCAGACATGACCCAGTGTGCCTGGCAAACCACAAGCTGCCTGACAGCCATTTGAATCCTAGTTCATCTCTGGGTGCCTCGGCTCCCAGGGGAAGTGTTTAGCTGGAAGAAACTGGGGAAGGGTTGGCTCAATCACAGACAGGAGCTGACAGTGCCTTGCTGACCATCAGCTGTGAAGGCTGTGGGCTGCAGGGCAATGCAGCATTCCCAGTAAGAGAGAGCAGCTACCTCATGTCCACTAGGCAATGGAGAGCCCGGAAAGGGAAGCTCATGACAGTGTAGACACAGAGTAAGCTGTGGAGAGGACAGAACTGGATTTAAATCCTGACTCTACTACTCACATGCTGTGCAACTTGGGGCAGGTGACTTTACCTCTCTGAACATCAAATCATCAGTAAAATGGAATAACAAACCCTGCCACAGAACAGATGGCGATGTGTTACTGCTGCTTCTGCTGCTACTACCACTACAGAGGAGGAAAAGGAGGAGGAGGGGGACAAGGAAGAAGAGGAGGAAGAGGAGGAGGAGAAGGAGGAGGAGGAGGAAGAGGAGGAGGAGGAGGTGGAGGAGGAGGAGGAGGAGGAGGACGAGGAGGAGGAGGAGGAGGAGGAGGAGGAGGAGGAGGAGGAGGAAATTTTGAAAGTCCTTGACCATTGACTGTTTCTCAATAGAACTTGACTTTGACTCGGGCTGTTGAAGTCCCCAGGAGCGGGGAGGCAGTGGCATGGGAACAGGTTTGAGTTTGGGAAGTGGTTAAGAAGCAGGCCAGCCATGTCCTAGGTCAGCTAGAGCTGAGCCTGGGCTTGGCTAAAAAGGTACTTGAAGCTGGGTGCCAGTGGCTCATGCTTGTAATCCTAGCTACTCAGGAGGCTGACATCTGAGGATTCTGGTTCAAAGCCAGCCTGGGTAGGAACGTCCATGAGACTCTTATCTACCAAAATAAGAAAATAAGTAAGCCAGAAGTGATGCTGGGGCTCAAGTGATAGAGTGCTGGCCTTGAGAAAAAAAAAAAAAAGCTCAGAGATAGCACCCATATCCTGAATTCCAGCCCCAGGACCCACAGCAAACAAACAAACAAATAAAGCATTTGAGGGCTTGGGGGACTGCATAGTTTGTGGCATGACCAACCACACATCTGTGCGTTTGTCTGTCTACCATCCCTAGCACCCTCCTGCTTTTCTGCTTAGTTAGGTCCCTAGGCCAGCTTTTCTCCCCCCAACCTAAGGCTACCTTGCCCTGGGCTCTGCTGACAGCTAAGGTGCAGAAGGGGGGGGGGGGGAGGGAAGATGGGTGCTTACGAATCTTGGGTCCAATTTCACCTCCTGGCCCAGACACAGACTTGGGTTGGCTGTGTCTCCCCATCTCCCCCAGGCTAGAGGCCTGAGGGCCCTCTCTGAGCTCCCACAGATGAGGGCAGCACCCAGAAGAACCCGATGGTGCGGCGATAGGGTTGCCCCAGGGCAGCTGGGTTGCCCCAGGAGTCCTGGGAAAGACTGGGGTGGTGAGCCGTGGAGAAGGTCCCTGGGGGTGGCCCTGGGGAAGAGGCCAGGGTGGGTGGGGGCTTGAGGGGTAAAGAATCTTGCTCTACTGTCCCCGGTGGGCTGGCTGCTCCCCCCCACTACTCCCCGGCGGGCCCCCAGGGGACCTCGCTCTAATAATGTATTTGATCGACTCGCCGGCCGCGTACAAGCGATTATTGTCTTGTCGGGAGTCAAACGTATCGATCTGGCGAGAAATATGAGCGGAGCAATGGGGCCCGCGTGTCAGTTACCAGCCCCGCTGGCCCTGGGGAGCCCCCTACGTCTCCTTTAATTACCGCTCAGCCCTGAGCCCAGCCTGGCCTCCCCTGTGCCGCCTCCTGGCAGCCCCCCATACACCTGGAGTGGCCCCCACTGCTCCCCCAAAACCTGGGCCCTACCTGGTTTGCTCAGCCTGGCTCCAGGCCTCTTTGGCAGAGAGGCCTCCATCAGCCTCGGCCTGGACCCATCCATTCCCAGCTGTCAGGCCCGGCCCACCCTGCGCCCCACCACGCTTTCTCCTACAGGCCCATCCTCCTTCCCCGGATCGCTTCACCTGGTCTGAGGCAGGCCAGCGAGGGAGAGGGTCAGAGCTGGGGCGTTTCACCAGTCGACTGGGCGATCCCCTCTTGTTTCCCTTCAGAGGCTGGTCTGAAGTCATAGCCAAAGTATGTTCTCCCGGTGGGTGATGCCAATGGGCTGGGGTGGAGAGGGGGCAGCAGCCTGGTTCTGCCTCCTCTCCATATCCTTTGACCCCTCTTTCCAAACCCGGGAAGCAGAAACCCTAAATAAAAAGCAAGAGCTTACTGGGCACATGCCGCTTCTTCAGGACATGAAGCCACTGCCAGGGGGGTGCCACAGAACGCCTGGTGTGCGTGGTCCTGCGGCCCGCAGATGTCATCAGTGAAGCGGCCACCGCAACACAGCCCTGTCCTGGAGTGGAGCCGCGTCTAGGGCTCCACATAACTCGGGGGTGCCCCCACAAAACACAGGGTTCACTGCCTCCCGGGGTGTGTCTGCAGCGCATGGTGGCCCACAGGTGGACGCGAGGACTCGTGTCATGTTTGCCTCGAATGTTCTGCGCAGGTGGACACACACGGGCACGCACGGCCAGGCCTGGGCGGGCAATAGGTGCAAATGGCGTTCGTGCCCAGGGGTCCACCTAAGGGGGCAGGGAGGGGGTCTGTGCCGGCGGGCGTCGTCGTGTGTGCCACTGGGCGACGTGCTGGGGTCCCTGTGCAGAGGCAGCCGAGCGCGCGTGCGAACCTACACACCCGTGCGCACACGCGCGCTTGCAGGGCCCCTCGGTGCGGGGGACCACAGCGTTCTGCAGCCCCAGGGCCCACAAGGAGCGGTGTTCGGAGGCCACGTCCCGGGGTGCCGAGAGGCGGGGGGCAGCAGGCTTGGGCGTGCCTTTGTTTGCGGGCACCGTGCGCCCGCGCGCCCGGAGTCCGGCGCCTTTGTGTGACCCTCGCAGGTGTGCGCCGGGGGGCGGGAGGGAAGGGGCGGGAGGGGAGGGGCGCCGAGGGAGGGGCCCCGCCCTCCGGCCCGTCAGCTGAGCGTTGCTGCCCTCTGGCGAGCACCGAGGGAAGTGCCAGTGGAGGAGCGCCGCTGCGCGCAGGCCCTCTCCCCCCCCACTCCCGCGAGCAACCAAGAGGACTCCACACCCGCCAGGGGGGCGCCCAGTTCACCCTCTGGCAGGTTGCTCACCGTCCCAGGCCAGAGATCTGACCCTCTCCCGTGCTGCCACTGCCTACAGGTGCTATTCCCTTCCAGCCTTGGCGGGAGACACCTTACCTACACGGCAGACAGGTGCAGGGCTTGATCCTCTCCCTCTGCTCCTGCTTCTTTTGGCTTCCGTGCTTCTTGGCTCTGGGTCTTTGAGAAAAATCACTCTTTCCACTTCCCATCCTCTTGTCTTTTCATGTGTAAAGTGGAGCAAATAACAATGCTTGCTTCTCAACAAGACACCTGTGAAGTGTGAGTGGCCCTGCTCGTGGTGGGAAAGCTCTCCCCGATAAACCTGCCAGCCAGTGTTTCATTGCTATTGCTACCGTGCGGGCCCACCTTCTCTCCCACATCCAGTGCTCCGGTCCAGGTGTGTGTGCCCACAGGGTGGCAGGAGAGACAGCCACGGTCACCGCTGCTGGCACCTCCTGGTGGAGCTGTGGGGTGGTTGCAGGAGTCACCTCTTCAAGCCTGCTTGTCTTCTATTCCACTAGCCCCCTAACTCTAACACACCTGCCTGATCTGGGGTCCCCTCTGCTGCTGGGGCTGGTCTGTGGGCTGGAGTATTTCCGAAGGGGGAGGATCAGCTCTGTGGTTTCCTCCTTGAGTGACTTCCGGCAGGGAGGGCTGGCCCCCTCAGAGAGGGCGGGGAGATGACACAGTTGTTCCCCAGCCCTGGCGGGGCTGGCAGCATGGTTCACTCCAGCATGGGGGCTCCAGGTAAGGGGCTGGTGCCTGTGCACCTGTGGTGGGGTGTAGACAGGCAGCACATTGGGGTTTGCTGCGCTGGCCCCTCCTGCCAGCCTTCCCTGCCCCTCATGCTCAGCTGTCTCCCTTGTCCTTCAGCATCTTGCTTCAGAAACACCCCTTCTCCCACACCGCCCCATCTTGCCCTCATCTTTGCTCCCTTTCACATCAGGCACTAGAAGTTTCCAACCTGTCTCCCCATGTCGCTGCCCTGTTCCCAGGGGTGGCGGGCAGGGAGGGAGGGAGGGAACCAGGCAGCACATTTAGTGGAGAACCGTGCACCAGACAACATGGATCATCCTTCAGAGAGGTGCCAAGGGCTTAGAAGACCAAGTTGCTGAGCCTGAGTGCTATCATTCTTTTTTTGAGTGTGTGTGGTGTGCACATGTGTATCTGTGTATGGTGTGTGTGTGCACGTGTGTATATGTGTGCAGTCATTCTGCATCCTCTGAGTGGCTGTTGTGTGCTTGGGTAGAAGCCAGTTCGGGGTCTGTCGTGTGTGGTACTGTAGGGATGGCAGTGACTTCTTGGCTGCCTTTGTTTACCTCAGTGTCGTCTCCTCAGGTAGATCTTCCATGACGTTCCCATGCGAGTTAGCATTTATCCTGTCCCTCTTGGTCCCCCCCCCCCCACTCTGTTCTATCTTTTTTTTCTTGCCATTTATTACTGTCTGGAATTTCTTTCTATTTCTTTCTTTCCTTTTTGTTGGTTCTGGGGCCTGAACTCAGGTGTCTAAGCTTCTTTTTGCTCAAGGCTGGTGCTCTACCACTTGAGCCACTGCTCTACTTCCAGCTTTTGGGGCAGTAGTTTATTGGAGATAAGAGTCTCATGGACCTTCCTGCCCAGGCTGGCTTTGAACCACAATCCTCAGATGTCAGCCTCCTGAGAAGCTAGGATTCCAAGTGTGAGCCACCAACGCCTAGCTGAAATTTCCTTATGTTTGTTTGTAAGTTTATTCCATGTAGCCTCTGCCACATGTCCATTGGCTGAGCGAATGCTAGGTGCCTAGCATCGGACAAGGTGACATGTTTGTTGTCTCGTTGAGTAGAATGTGTGTCTCTGTTTCTAGGGAGCATTAGCCCTCAGCAATGTCAATGAACATACCTGTATTACATGCTTAGCCAAGTATCAGAACATGCAAGCACTTAGTACTCCATTTCTGCTTCGTCTGTGGCTATCAGGCATGACTGTGGGGAGGTGTCTGAGTGTGAGTCCTGGCTTGGGGTGCGTCCTGTGTATGCACCAGCGGGCAGCAGCACCCCTGCAGTCCTTCGGCAATGTGTGGTTACTGTGCAGTTCTGTGCGGGGTATGGAAAGATGACTGAGAAATGCAACTTTAGGTCTGTCCTTCTGGCACCCCAAGTTCTATGGAGAAGGCAGACCTGTCACCAGTGATCTCCAGAGTGCTCAGAGATGGGGTGAGAGGTACTCCAGGTATTGTGGGCACCCATAAGACATCCAGTTCAGCTAGTGTGATGCCGGGGCGGGGGGGCTTCCTGGAGGAAGGGGTGTGTGAGCTCGAATGTGAAGGTGGTGGGGATGAAGGCGCTGCAGGGTGGTATGTGATCACTCCTTGAGGCAGCTGTGTATACGTGTGTGGGTCTCTATAAACAGCACAGACAGGAGATCAGGGTGTCTGCACACATTTGGTGTCTGCTCCTCTGCTAGCTTGGCTGAGGTCAGGTGAGAGCTCATGGGTACCAGGGAGGAGGGTGGATCCTTGACTTGGGGTTTCTCACTCAACAGCCCTACCTGGGAGGACTGGTATGTGTTTTCCCTGCTGGACCGTGGATCAATATGCGGTATAGATGCGAATCAATACATTGTGAGGACACCAACTAATTTGTGCGACCTTGGGCGGATCACTTGCCATGCCCGGTCTCAGGCTCCACATGGATGAACCGTCTTAGGGGTCTTCCCTGGTCATTGTGTGCATGTGTGTGTATGACTCAGAGTGAGTATGTGCATGTCTGAGTGTGTGACTCTGGCTGTGAGTGTGTAAGCACAGGCATGTGTGCACACATCTGGGTGTGTGTTTTCATACCTCTCTATGGCAACCCTCTTGAGCATGTATCTTTCTCATCTGCAGACCCATGCACATTTCTTCCTGGTCTCTTGTGTGTGCCTGTGCCTCGTGTGTGCTGCCTGTGTGTGTGTGTGTGTGTGTGTGTGCTGTATCTCATGTGTGCTGGCTGTGCATGTGTGTGTGTGTGTGTGTGTGTGTGTGTGTGTGCTGGCTGTGTGTGTATGTGTGTGCTGTATCTCATGTGTGCTGGCTGTGCATGTGTGTGTGTGTGCTGTATCTCATGTGTGCTGGCTGTGCATGTGTGTGTGTGTGTGTGTGTGTGTGCTGGCTGTGTGTGTATGTGTGTGCTGTATCTCATGTGTGCTGGCTGTGCATGTGTGTGTGTGTGTGTGTGTGTGTGTGTGTGTGTGTGCTGGCTGTGTGTGTATGTGTGCTGTGTCTCATGTGTGCTGGCTGTGTGTGTGTATGTGTGTGCTGTGTCTCATGTGTGCTGGCTGTGCGTGTGTGTGCGCTGTCTCATGTGTGTTGGCATGTGTATGTGTGGTGTGTCCCATGTGTGCTGGCTGTGTATGTATGCTGGTCTCATGTGTGCTGGCTGTGTGTGTATGTGTGTGCTGTGTCTCATGTGCTGGCTGTGTGTGTATGTATGTTGTGTCATGTGTGCTGGCTGTGTGTGTATGTGTGCTGTGTCTCATGTGTGCTGGCTGTGCATGTGTGTGCGCTGTGTCTCGTGTGTTGGCATGTGTGTGTTGTGTGTCATGTGTGCTGGCTGTGTGTACATGTATGCTGTGTGTCATGTGTGCTGGCTGTGTGTGTGTGTGTGTGTGCTGTCTCATGTGTGTTGGCTTGTGTGTATGTATGTTGTGTCATGTGTGCTGGCTATGTGTGTGTGTGTGTGCTGTGTCTTGTGCACTGGCTGTGTATGTGTATGTGTGTGTATGTGTGTGCTGTGTCTCATGTGTGCTGGCTGTGTGTGTGTGTGTGTGTGCTGTCTCATGTGTGTTGGCTTGTGTGTATGTATGTTGTGTCATGTGTGCTGGCTGTGTGTGTGTGTGTGTGTGTGTGTGTGTGTGTGTGTGTGTGTGTGATGTCTCATGTGTGCAGGCTGTGGCTTTAGCTGTGATATGGGCACTGTGTAGCATCTCTTGCCTGTCATCAGCACAGCCAGGGCCACCTCTCGTGTGGTTGCTGCTGCCCACACTTCCATCCTTCCCTCCTGATCGCTAAGAAGTACTCACTCCCGTGAGGCCATGAGGCCATGGGAACAGCTGGGGAGGCTGAGGGCGTGTGAGGTGCTGTTGCTGGGGAGGCCAGGGGCTGGGCCAGCTGCCCCCACCAAGCTTCCCAGCAGCACCAGCCCTGCCCACAGGGGCTCCCAGCTCTTGATGGAGGCAGGCTGTGGAGGCAGAGGACCCAGGGGACAGGCCAAGTGGGGCCAGAAGGGGTGAGGGGCAGTCCTTGGGCCCTCTATATTTAGCCCCATTTTCGGTAAGTGCTAACGAGAAGCTGGCCTGAGTCTGCTAAAACTGGCTGGGGGAAACGCAGAGGAGAAGTGAAAGTCCAGGGAGGGAGGGCCACGAAGGGTGTTGCGGGGCAGGGGGGGGGACCCAAGTCCCAGACCTGGGGCATTTGGGGCAAGGGTGGTGAGCTCGGGCCTGGCAGCCCAGGGTAGGTCTAGCCTGAGAACGGTGAGACTCAAGGGTCAAGACAGCTCCAAGGGCCTTGGCCTGTTTATATTTCCAGTTCCTCTAAAAAGTGAGATACGTTGCCCAGGCTGGCTTCAAAGCATGATCCTCAGATCTCAGCCTTGAGTAGCTCGGGTTACAAGTGTGAGCCACCAGCGCCATACTCAAACCACTCTGTCTATACTTACCATTGTGGCAGAGGGACCCTTACCATGACAGTTGAAGGCAGAGTTGCTTGCTTGGTGGGGGGTTGAGGTGTCAGGCAACAGCAGAGATGGGGGGGCTTGTTTGGCCAGCCCTGGTCAGTGGGGGAATTGGTCATTCCAAAGACACAGCCGCGGCTGGCCGTGGTCCACACGCAATTCCAGAACTGAGGAAGGCATAGTGCAGGATTGTGGTCTGAGGGCAGCCTGGACATACATGGGAGATTCTCTCTGAAAAATAACTTAAAATAGCAAAATAGAAGCTGAGCTCTGGTGGCTCACACCTGTAATCCTAGCTACTCAGGAGGCTGAGACCTGAGGATGACGGTTCAAAGCCAGCCCAGGCAGGAATGTCCTTGAGAGTCTTTATCTCCAGTGTACTTCCCCCAAACTGCAAGTGGAACTGTGGCTCAAAGTGGTAGAGCATTAGCCTGGAGCAGAAAAGCTCAGGGATAGCGTCCAGGCCCTAAGTTCAAGCCCCAGGACTGACAGAAAGAAAGAAAAAAAAAAGAAAGAAAGAGAGAGAGAGAAAGAAAAAGAAAAGAGAAAGAAAGAGCTGAATGTGTGTCTCAAGTAGTAGAGCACTTGCTTAGTAAGTAGAGTTCAAAACCCAATACTGACAATCTGCATAAATAAAGATAAATTATATATATATATGGGCTGGGAATGTGGCTTAGTGGACTTAGTGGTAGAGTGCTGGCCGTGAGCAAAAGAAACGCAGTGCCCAGGCCTAGAGTTCAAGCCCAGGACTGGCAAATATATATATATATATATATATATATATATACACACACACACACACACACACACACACACATACACATATATAATAAATGGTCATAAAATAAATATTATATATGTATATATATATTCATATATATATATTCATATATATATATATATGAATGAATGAGAGACACAGTGGAGACTTGTGCAGTGATGACTCCACTGAGCTGCAAGGAACCCATAGTCAGGGGTGAGGGGTGGGAAGAGGCCCACTGCCCAGGGTGGGTCAGGGCGTGATAGGCATTCAAAAGCTAGGGAGTCCAGAGAAGCAAGCCACTCATCACCTAGTGGTCCAGGGAAGACTTGCTTGGCTTTGAACTCCGTGTATTGAAATGGAAACTATATGTTTGACTTTGTGTATGGTAACTTTCAATCTGTGAGATTCAACAAGGTATACAGAGCAGAACTTTGTTCTTTTTGTTTGTTTTTGATCTCAGGGCTTGGGTGCTGTCCTTGAGTTTCTTTTGCTCAAGGTTAGTGCTCTACCACTTGAGCCACAAAGCCACTTCTGTTTTTTGTGTTTGTTTTTGTTTTAGTAATTGATTGGAGATAAGAGTCTCATGGACTTTACTGCCCAGGCTGGCTTCGAACTATGAACCTTAGGTCCCAGGCTCCTGTAGCTAGGATGACAGGTGTGAGCCACTGGCACCTGGACTTTGTTGTTTTTTCATTATTGCAATGTGTTTGTTCTTTTTTCACTATTGTAGTGTGTTCTATTGAATGGACAGACAACATTTGTTTACCCACTCACCTGTTGGTGGGCCCTTGGGTTCTTTGCAGGCTGGATCCGTTATAGAAAGGTTAAGACAACACCTGCCTGGGGGTCCTTTGGTGGCAGGTGCATGTTTTAAGTGGATGCCCAGGAATGAATGTGCAGGGTCAAAGGGAGGGGTGTCTCATCCACTTCCTGAATAGTGCTTGTCTCAGTTTACACTTGCACCAGCAATACATGACCTGGCTTTTAAATTTGGAGTCTAAAAACATGACTTGGGTAATTCAAGTGTTGTTGTTGTTGTTGTTGTTAATAATTGATAATGGGATTTGAACTCAGAGCCTTGTGCTTGCTGGCAGTGCTCTACCACTTGAGAAATGCCTCCAACCCTATCAAGTAAAGCTTACACTATTCCTAAATGTTATATTTTCATTGTGTAATTCTTCAAATCCTTCAATTGAGCTGTGTTGGTTTGTTCACATTTATTTTTGTCAGTGCCACGGTTTGAACTCAGGGTTTCATATTTGCTTGACTTGCTTGTTCACTACCATTTGAACCACACCTCCAGTCAGGCTTTTTGCTGGTTATTTTGGACATGGAAGTTTCATGGACTTTTCTGCACTGGCTGGTTTCAAATCTCCATCTCCTAGATTTCAGCCTCCTGAGTAGCTAGGATTACAGGAGTGTGTCACTCGTACCCAGCTTATATATTTACTTACTTATTTATTTTGCCAGTCCTAGGGCTTGAACTCAGGACTTGGGCACTGTCCATAAGCTTCTTTTGCTCAAGGCTAGCACTCTAACACTTGAGCCACAGCACCACTTCTGGCTTTTTCTTTTTCCTTTTCTTTTTATTGTGAAAATACTGTACAGAGGGGTTACAATTACATGGGCAAGATAATGAGTACATTTCTTATGAAGCATTGTAGCCTCCTCCTTTGTTTCCCCTTCCCACCCCTTCCCATCTTCCCCCTGCCCACCCCCCGCCCCCAACTTCTGGCTTTCTCTATGTATGATACTGAAGAATCGAACCCAGGGCTTCATGCATGCTAGGCAAGCACTCTATCACTAAGCCACATTCCCAGCCCCAGCTTATTTATTTTTAATTTTTGGTGTACTAGGGTTTGAACTCAGGGCCACACACTTGCTTTGCTTGCTTACTGACTAGTACTCTACAATCAAGCCACACTCCAGCCCTACCTAGTTATCCTTAAATAACTTGAGTGCCTGGCACAATTGAGTTGGACAGCTCCTTTGATAGAGATAGGGTCACAGTTTGAGGTTATGTTGGGCCTCAAGGTCAAATGAAAGATTTGAGCCATTGGGGCACACATTAGGACTGAGATTGGTGCTGGGGTCCGGGGCTAGGAAAAGTGGGTGTCATTATCAGGCTGAGCTTGGGTAAAGGACTGTCAGAGATGAGATGTGGAGGAAGACAGAGGCCCCTTAGACTGAAGCAGTTCAGATTACAAGCAGGAGTCCCAAAGAACTGTGTGTAGTAGGGGCCCCTTTGCCCTGTTGCCATGTTCTTGGGGGAGGCGACACCTCCTTCTTGGAGCCTGTTTCCTCCCCTATGTGAGCTGAGCCTGCCACGCTGGAACATTTGTTCCATTGATTGTTAGGTGGCTGTCGCTACTTTGGGGTTCTGTGGAGTTGAAGGGCTAGGACTAGCCTGGAGGCTGTAGTCTTGGTTGGAAGCAGAGGGGTGGGGTTGTGAGGGCTGTAACCCGCACACAGGAGGAAGGCTGGTGGAGTGAGGTGGGCATGGGAAAGTGCTGGGCCCCGGGGCGGTTGAATCACACCCAAATCTGACAGCTCTTTCCTTTGGGGACACTGCAGCCCCATTACATCTCCCAGGCCCCACTCAGAGTGGAAAACATGTCTCACTCGAAACCTGCCCCGAGGCAGGACGGGAGCCCAGGCCCCACAGGGGTAGTGGAAGAGGCCAGAGGTCGGTGGGAAGAAGGCAGAGGTCACACTTGATCCTCAGCCTCCTCAGGAACCCCTCCCACCCTGCCCCATTGCCTTATGGTGGGTTGCATCCGCAAGCCCCTTTTTGGAGTGATGCGAGGCTAAATGAGATAAAGGTTTTAGGGGCCTAAGGGCCACTGTCTTGGCTTTTACCAGGCCAAGGCAGCGGAACCGCGTATACCTCATTTTAAAGATGGCTAGGATATGCGTGTGTAGTGGAAGCGGGGGGTGGGGGGGGGAGTTTGGAGAAGGGGAGTTTGGGGGTGTTCGCCCTTTGGCTTCCTTTCCCCCTCCCCATTTTCAACCTTCTCTCTTCCCAGAAATAAGAATGTCTAAGCCCCTGGAGGCCGAGAAGCAAGGTCTGGACTCCCCGTCAGAGCACACAGGTGAGTGGGGAGGGTCAGGGAGTGGGCACAGGTAAAGGGGGGGATGCCAGCATGACCCATGCCACCATATCCATTCCTTCTCTTTGTAGACACCGAAAGAAATGGACCGGACACTAACCATCAGGTCAGAAGGGAAAGGATGAGCAGGGGGCATGGAGGGGAGGAGGACGGGAGGCCAGTGTCTGAAGCCATTTCATCATGCTCTTCCCACCTCCCTGACCCCACTTTCTCTTTGCAGAACCCCCAGAATAAGGCCTCCCCATTCTCTGTGTCTCCAATTGGTCCCAGCACCAAGGTAAGTGCACCTGTGGGAACACTGGGGGGAAGGGTGTCTGGGGGTGGGGAGCTAGGCGTGACCCAGGGCCTGTGAAAGCGTCCAGTGACACCCAAGGATCCCCTCCCCAGGCCTATGAATCACCCCAACTCCTTCCTCTTCCCTGGGGGGGGTGGGGGCGGTAAGGGAAATCCCCCCCAGAGTCCCAGGGTGCTGAACAACAGGAAGCCAGGGCCCCGCCCCCATCCCGACTTCCCTGACTACCCCTGCCCTCCAACACATACCCTCAGGGGGCCAGCAGTGCAGGTGGAGGGGGGGAGGCCCAGTGAGGACAGCTGTAGGGGTGCAGGAGGGTGATGGAGAGCTGCTTGAAGCAGCTGAGTGGTACAGATTCCAAATCCAGATGAGGCCCTGTGCTGGGGTCTGTGTCCTTCGGGGGGGGGGGGGGCCTTCGGAGACCCGAGGGGTAGCATCAGAGGAGACAGGAGCAAAATCCTTGACCCTGACCAGAGGTGGCTGAGGGTTGGGGTGGGAGGCTGAGAACTGCTCTCCACCCAGCCACAGCGTTGCTCTGCGACCATGGGAAAGTCACTTCCCCTCTCTGGGTTTTATTAGTTTCCTCTTCTCTGACACTGGTGGGGGCTGGAGGGCAGTTAGGTTGGAGGGGCTGTGAGGTCCCTTCCACATCTGGTATGCCCCGAGGGGAGGACAAAGTGCTTTGTGAGCACTCTGTCCTGAGCACTCTGATCAGTGCCTGGAGGAGAAGAGTGGCTCTTGACCTGCGGCTCTCACGTCTGAGACCCGAGACCCTAAGCCCACCCTTCACTCCCACCTCCGCTCCTGAGCTGAATCAGGTTTTTGCTGGTTTTCCTCACCGGAGAAGCCAGTGGGACAGAGGGAACAAAAGGGTTTTCCCTCGCCTTCCCAGACCTGGCTCGCTTCACAGCTCAGCCTGTTTCTCTGGTCCCAGCCTTTGCCTCTCAATCTCTCTCCATCTGCCCTGGACCAGTCTTTCTCCCGCTGCCATGATTCATGCGCTCCTCCCATGATTCATGTGCTCCCAGCATCATCTTGGACATACAGCCGTGTACAATTATTTACATAATAATTTTGCTTAGTGGCTCAGTTAAAAAACACTTTATTATGGAAAAATGTGAAGCTGATATAAAAATAGACAGGATATAATGAAAATAAACCTTCCAGGAACTCATCTATCAGCTTCAGCAATTATCCACTCATACACTGCCTCTCTTTTTGGACAGCTTGAATAAATGGTTTTTAAATGGAAATTTGATGAATGGAAAAACAGAATCGTAAGCCATGGAAATAAATACAATGTTTATTACCATTTACCCCAGAGTCTTCTATGTGCTCAAGGGTCTAAGGCTTATTCTCCGTCGGCTAGAAGGAGAGATTTAGCCAACCTTGGAGAGATATTTAAGCCATCTTAAGACTTTTCTTTTTCTTTCTTTCTTTCTTTTTTTTGCCAGTGCTGGGGCTTGAACTCAGGAGGCCTGGGCACTGTCCCTGAGCTTCTTTTGTTCAAGGCTAGCACTCTGCCACATGAGCCACAGTGCCACTTCTGACTTCTGTTTATGTGGTACTGAGGAATTAAACTCAGGGCTTCATGCTTGCTAGGCAAGCACGCTGCCACTAAGCCACATTCCTAGCTCTGGCTTTTCTTTTTCTATTTCACAGTTATTAGTGTTTCAGTTTAGGGCCTTGCACTTCCTAGGTGGGTGCTTTACCACTTAGCCCACACTCCAGTCCTTCAGTTATTTCTCAGATAGGGCCATGTACTTTTTCCTGGGTTTGGCCTCAGATTTTTTTTTTTTTTTTTTTTTTTTTGCCAGTCCTGGAGCGTGAACTCAAGGGCCTGGGCACTGTCCCTGAGCTTCTTTTGCTCAAGGCTAGCACTCTACCACTTGAGCCGCAGTGCCACTTTTGGTTTTTTCTGTTTGTGGTACTGAGGAATTGAACCCAGGACTTCATGCTTGGGAGGCAAGCACTCTACCACTAAGCCACATTCCCAGCCCATGGTCTTGGATCTTCAGTCTTGAATCTCTACTTCCCGTATAGTTGTGATATTACCATACCTTGTCGGCTACACAGAGACTTTCTTAGATAGCCAAAAAGAGTTTTTAAAAAATTGAAATGAGAATAGTGTTCTCACCATGGCACTCAATATATTTGTTTTGAAAGTACTTGGATTTGAACTCAGGGTCTTGCACTTCCTAGGCAGATGCTTTACTATTTGAGCCCCACCCTTGGCTTTAGTTGCTTTTTGGATACAGTCTCACATTTTTGCCTGGGGATGGCCTTAGACCATGATTCTCTTATCTAGCTGGGTTTATAGGCATACACTACCATGCCCAGATTATTTGTCAGGATGAAGATTTAAATAACTTTTTTCCTGGAATGGCCTCAAACTTTTGATCCTCTCTATTTCTACTTCCCAGGTCGTTGGGGATTATAGAAATGAGCCACAGGGCCATCAACATTATGGGGACTTTTTTTTTTTAAACTCTTCACATTGAAATATGACAGAAACTGAACATATCTCTTGGGGCCAATTATCAGATCAAGAAGCAGAATGTGCCAGGTGCCGGTGACTCATACCTGTAATCATAGCTACTTAGGAGACTGGTTCAAAGCCAGCCTAGGCAGGAAAGTCCATGAGACTCTTTATCTCCAATAAACTACTCAGAAAAATCCAGAAGTGGAGCTGTGGGCTCAAGTGGTAGAGTGCTAGCATTAAGCAAAAGAAGCTCAGGGATAGCTCCCAGGCCCAGAGTTCAAGCCCCACGACCAGGAAAGAAAAAAACAAAACAAAACAAAATACACAAAAAAACCCCCAGCAGAATGTGACTGGCCTTCTGGGGGTTCTTCATGTCCCTGCCAGGGAGAATCATTCGCCTGACTCTTTTTTTTTTTTTTTGCCAGTCCAGGGGCTTGAACTCAGGACAGACCTGGGCACTATCCCTAAGCTTCTTTTGCTCAAGGCTAGCACTCTATCACTTGAGCCACAGCATCACTTCTGGCTTTTTCTGTTTATGTGGTACTGGGGGGAATTGAACCCAGGGCTTCATGCATGTGAGGCAAGTACTCTACCACTAAGCCAAATCCCCAGCCCTTCTCTGACTTCTGGTAGTGTCATTTCCTGCTAGGCTCCTCATTCCTTAAAGCTTCTCATGCTTTATCCATAATTTAGAGCTCACTGTTGATCATTTTGCCATTCCTGAGCCTCTATCTATTTGTCTCCATCTGTTTTTCAAATCTCCCCCCACCCTGCTGCTGCCCCACTAATGGGCTGTGTCACCTTATACAAGTTGTTTTCCCTCTCTGTGGGAAGGATTTTTCCAGAATGGTGTTGGGATACTGGGCTGAAGGTTGATCCCCGTTGTGGCCCTTCGGGTGTGTGATCCATCCTGTGCTCCTGGCCCCTCCCCTTCCTCCTGTGTCTTATTTGCTCCTTTCAGCCATGGCCAGCTGTATCTGGCTTGGAGGAGAGGAGGAAGGCAAGGAGGCTTCATGCTGGTCTGGTCTCTGTGCACGATATAAGATACAGATAACAGAGAGACAGTCAGGGGCTGGTGGACCTCCAGGGTTGAGGGCTGGAACTCTGTAGCCCTGGACCACAGCTGGTTTGTCCACAGCCCAGGATCCGCACGCTGCTTCGCTCTCCCTTGCAGTGTTCCTGTTTCACATTCTGAAATGAGTGGCAGTGGGGGGCAGGGTAGGAGCTGAGCAGGCCTCCCCTTTGGGTGGGAGTGTTCCCCCAGCCCACCCGACCCACCCTTGCCCATGCCACCCATTATACCGGTGCTCGTCTCTGTAACTATTTGAGTTTGTGGCCCAAGTTCCAAGTGATGTGTTTTTGTTTTTTAATACCCTTTCAACAAAATTGCATTCTGTTGGAAAAAGATATACCTCTGGCTGAGGGGTGTGAGTGCCCGAGCCCCTTCTTTTGCCCCTCCAGACACTCAGTGGCCCATCTTTAGATGGGGCAAGTGACTCCGGAGAAGAAAAGTACTCCCCAAAGGTGATCTCTCCTGGAAGGAGTCTGGGTGTAGGTGACTGGTGGAGAAACTGAGGCTAGAGGACTGGTTGGAGGCTTGAGCCTCAGCCTCACTTTCATCCTCCAGTTGGCTCCTCCTGCGCCAGCCCAAGGTTACCATTGCCACACACATGCCCTCTCTTTGATTCACAGGTGGGCATTCTCTCTGGCCTCCACTTAACATTCTGGGGTCCCGGACCCTGCCTCTCTCCCCCCCAGATCAAGGCTGAAGACCCCAGTGGTGACTCAGCCCAAGCAGCACCCCCGCCCCCCCAGCCGGCTCAGCCACATCTGCCCCAGGCCCAGCTCATGCTGACGGGCAGTCAGTTAGCTGGGGTAAGTACACTGGGGAAGAACAGGGGTGGGGCACCTACCGCCCACCAGTCCCCCCAGGACTATGGCCACTCTCTCATATCTGCCTCTTGGCCCCTCTCTCTTCCCCTCCCCTCCCCCTCAAAGACTTGTTTTCTTGTCTGCTTGGCTTTGGCTCTAACCGCTCTCTGCCTTCTCTGCTTCTACCCTCTCCCACCATCTGCCCGCTCGCCTGCCCACAGCTCACGGCCCTGATGCCAGCTCAGCAGCAGCTACTCCTGCAGCAGGCCCAGGCCCAGCTGCTGGCCGCCGCCGTGCAGCAGTCCAGCGCCGCCGCTGCCGCCAACGCTGCCGCCGCTGCCGCTGCATCCTCCTCCACCTCCTCCTCCTCCTCCTCTGCCTCTGCCTCCTCCTCCACCTCACAGCCCCCCACCTCCTCTGGGGGAGGCGACCTGCCACCACCACAGCCTGCCAGCCAGCCCCCAGGGACCCCACAGCTCACCTTGTCCCAGCCCATCCAGCTCACAGCACAGGTAAGGGTGGCCACGGGAGCCACACTCTGCATGGATGCAGTAGAGTGGGTGTGCTGGAGGGGCTGACCTCCAGCCACGGGCCACAAGTTCAAAGTCAGGGTTCTCTCTCTCTATCTCACTCTTTCCTTTTCTCTCCTTTCTTACTGGGCTTTAAATTCAGAGCTTTCTGCTTGCTAGTTGGGTGCTCTACCATTCAGCCTTGCCTCCAGCCTTTTTTTTTTTACTGGTTAACTTTGAAATGGGGTCTCACTTCCTGCCCAAGTGCATACCTGGGCTATAGTTCTATTTTTCATTTCCTACTATAGCTAGGATGACAGGTATATCTCCATTCCATAGTTAGGAAGAGGTCTCATACATGTTTTTGCCCAGGTTGGCCTCAGACTAGGATTAGAGGCATGAACCAGTGGCACCCAACTTCCTTAGTTCCCTTTCCTTTCCTCAAATTTTCCATTCTTGTAATAACCCCAGTCATTGTGCCAGTACCTACTTTGTCATAAGACCCCAAACTATCTTTTGAGGGGGACCAGTTCAATTCATAATGGCCAATAATCTCCAAGGTAGATCATCAGTGCCTGCAATATAGGAGTTTAGATGGCTACTGATCTGACAGGCATTCTCCATGACTCACTCATCTTCTGGTCTCCAAAATCATTTGAGTCTATAATTGTTTTTTGTTGTTGTTGTTGTTTCTAGGTTTTTGTTTTTGTTTTTTGCCAGTCCTGGAGCTTGAACTCAGGGCCTGGGCACTGTCCCTGAGCTTCTGTTGCTCAAGGGTAGCACTCTACCACTTGAGCCACAACACCACTCGCGACTTTTTCTGGGTATGTGGTACTGAGGAATCGAACCCAAGGCATACTAGGCAAGTACTTTACCACTAAGCCACATTCCCAGACCTATAATTGTATTTTAAGATGGTGAAAGTCCCAAGAAATCCTGCAGCGAAGGAAGCTGCTAACTTCCCTTAACCAAGCATTATCATGCTACAAAACCAAGTACCAGGGCCCCCAGAGATTGTCCCTGCCAGCTCACCCTTCCAGACACCCTGCCTATCCCATTACCCATGTTCCCACGCGGGACTTTCCTGAGCACGGAGCCAATCTCTTGCTTGCTTAGAGCCTCCTGCCTAGCTCCCTGGAGACACTCTGAAATCCCGCCACTCGTCTCCACGATGAGGCCTCCAAACACAGCCTTGTCAGCTTCTGGTTCACCACAGACACTGTTAACTATAGTCTATGCACTATGCCAGCATGACCTCTGAACCCAAAAACCTTCACCTTAGTCAGGCTCCCTGAGGCAAGGTGACATGCCCAGGTCACACTGAGAGCCTTAGTATCAGGGCTGGCCTGTGAGCCCAGGTCTCTAACCATATGGCCCGTGGCTGCTGTTTTAGCTGTCCTTCACGCATGGCTCCCAGCCCCTCCCATCTGGGCCACCAAAGGCGCCAGCAGCAGGTGTCTAGTTTGCTTCATAGTGCGCACACAGGCCACAGCCCTTCAATGTGCAACACCAGGAGTTTGGGGCTCTATTCCTGTTCTACCTAGAGTTGCTCCCTTCTTTATCTGACAGCTCCTCTTCATCATTAGGCCCAACTCTAGAGTTTCTGCCTCCAGGAAGTTTCCAGGAAGTCCAGAAGGAATTCCTGACCTTTTTAAAGAAATAGAGAGAACAAATTCTAGAGGAAGGAGGAGAGTCCAGCAGCTTGAAGGCCCGGCCAGGTCACATCACCCCAGGAGCAACAGATACTTCTTGTGTTCATGAACCCCAGGTTCCCCTGGGCCTGTCTGCCCCCTCAGCAGGCAGACCCTCTGCCACCTGCTATCTGATGGCCAGGGTACTCTTGAAAGTCTCTCTGCCAGTCCTTACCTCTCTTCTGTGTCCCTAGGCCTTCAGTCTCTCCCTGTGATCCTCAGCAAGTGCAAAGCAGGACCTGGTTTGTTTCAGAGATTTCTTTCTCAGTGGCTGAGTTGCCCTGTGGCTCTGTTTCTCCCACAGTGGTTTGTTCTGTGTCTCCTGTGTTGCTTGGTGCCACACAGAGCCAGGCCACTGCTCTTGTGGCCCTAGCTGCCCATTACTGTATCTGTCTGAGCTGGAGCCCCTCTCCTCGGCCTTCCTCTCCTCTTCTAGTTCCCTTGCTTATTCAGTTCCCTTCGTGCTCCATCTCACAAACATTCCCTGGCCACCTGGCAAGAAGCTTGGGACTTGAATGTGAGTCACAGCCCTGATTGCCCTCCCCTGGGGTGGGGGTGGGGCCTCTCCACTTAAAGTGAACCAGAAACACAATGGACCACTCAAAATGCTTCACCTGAAATGCACCAAGAAGGCTAGAATAGGCTGGGAATGGCATTTCATTCCCGCCATCCCAACTACATGGCAGGTATAGGTAGGAAAACTGAGATACTGACATCTGATGCCAACCCCTGGGGCAAAAGGGTGTGACTGTATCCAAAACAAAACTAAAGCAAAATGGGGTAAGGCTGTGGCTCAAGTGGTAGGAGTGCTTGTCTAGAAACTGCAAAACCCAGAGTTCAAATCCCAGTACCACTAAAAAATAAATTTAAAAAATAAAATAATACTTAAAAAAAAAAAAGACTAAAGGCCTTGTACTGGTGGTGGCCCATACTCCTAGCTACTGAGGAGGTAGAAAACAGCAGCAGGATCAGTTTGAGGGCAATTTAGGAAGAAAAGTTCTTGAGACCTTCTCTCCAAAGTAAGCAGCTAAAAACCCAGCTGGCCCAGCATTGGTGGCTCATGCCACCTAGTTATATAAAGCTCTAAACCACCCAGAAACTCTTTTCACTTCTAAATTATATCAAGTATAAAGGGAGAAAGTTCATCCATAATTTCTAGGTTAGAAGACAGTTTAGCAAGATCTCTTCCTGTAGTTTCTGTGCGTGTACCAATGGAGGGACAGTAACAATTCCATTGGATAATTTGTTCAACACCCAGCATACTGTCTTTTACTTTGAGATAGAGCTACATGGATGTTTACTGCCTAATCAGGTGATGATAGATTGCTGGCTTTCAATCACAGAAAGGGAAAATATCTCTCCAGAGAAATATTTCAGTGTAAGTGTTGGCACTGATTGAAAACTTAGTGGTAAGTGTTAAAACATTCTTTTGTGTTTGAAAGGTGGCAAAAAAGAATTTCTAGTTTTCTAATAGGACAGAAAATAAAACTAAACAAAAGGCTGGGAAGGTGGCTTAGTGGTGCCTAGCATGCTTGAAACCCTGGGTTCGATTCCTCAGTACCACATAAAAAGAAAAGGCCACAAGTGGTGCTGGCTCAAGTGGTAGAGGGCTAGCCTTGAGCAAAAAAAAAAAAAAAAAAGCTCAGGGACAGTGCCCTGGCCTTGAGTTCAAGCTCCAGGATTGGCAAAAAAGTAAAAAATAAAACAAAACAACAACAAAGAAAACAAAACAAATTTTTTTTTTTAGGCTGGTAGGGCCTAGTGAATGAAGGTTTCCCAGAGACACCCACTAGGGGGGTAGGGCAAGGAATATTGCCACGTGACTGCCCAGAGGAGTTAAATATGTCCACTAGTGAGTGTAAAGTCAGTACCCACGAGCTTCCCACAAAGGCAATGTGTGAGCCCCAGGGCCCTCGTGACCTGCGCCTGAGAGAGGTCAGCACCCAGAAGGAAGAGGCGGGGCCTGGTGTTTGAAGAAGGCCCAGCAGTGCCAGACCTGGCTGTAGCCAGTGCACGCACGGAGCCTTGGGGCTGGTGGTCCCTGGATTGGGATCTTCAGGTGCATGTCTGTCATGGAATGTTAGCATTCTCCCTGTGGATGGTTCCCCAATGGCCAGGACTTCCTGGGCTCCACAGAGCAGGCCAGCCTTGGAGATTGGGCCCACGCTGGATGCACCCCCCCACTTTAGACAGTCCTCTAGTGACTAACCATAGTGCAGTTATTCATTAAACGGGCACTTATTAAGCCCTTTGTGTAGGCTAGGTGTCCATTCAGGGCCAACTGTGAACAAGGCAGTGGTCGCCGCCCCTGAGGACCCTATGTCCTCAGCAGAGGGGAGGGACAGACAGTAAACAAATACACGAGCCAGCAAAAAGGACAGTTTCAGAGTAAGTGTGATGTAGAAAATGAAACAAGGCAGTGTCGGAAAGGGAGGAGCCCCATGTAATGGGTGGTTAGGAAAGGTTTCACTAAGAAGCTCGGCCTTTGAGAGCAGAGGGCCGAATGAGTCAGTCATGAAAGCAGCCGGGGGAAGAGCATTTCAGGAAGAGGGAACAGCAAGTGCAAAGGTACTGAGGTGAAAACCAGCTTGGCTTGTTCAAGGTACAGAGGGACATGTATGGCTGGCTCAGCCTGGGGAGAGGGGAGGCATATGGAAGTTGAGGGTAAAGGGCCCACGAGGAATTTGAAAGTGTACCAAGGTTGATGAGAGGTCTTGGGGTTTGTCTCTGTGATTTTTGCAGTACTGGGGATGGAACCCAGGGCCTTGTGTTCTCTAGGGCCAGGGTGGTGAAATGGGGAAATGCCATGACCTGATTGGCTCTTTAGGAAGCTCCTCTGGAGGTTGTGGGGAGAGTGGACCGCAGAGGCTGGGAAGAGAATGGGGGGGGGGCAGTAGGAAGCCCGTGTAGGTGCCTAGGTAGGGGACAGGGTGGCCCGCTCCCCAGAAAATGATAGCGCAGGGTGTGGCCTCTGCTTTAGGTGAGACCAGGTCAATGATGCCTCCTAGAATTTTGGCTTCTCCTCCAAGGTGGTGATGAGGTCGTTTCCTGAGTTGGAGAAGATGGCGTGCGAGGGCTTGGGGGCGGGGAGGCGGGGAGCGGGGAGGCAGGAGACAGGCATTCTGGAAAGCTAGGATAGGAAACTAAAACTTTCTTTGGGCCTGGTGGGGTTTGACGACTCTCTTAATGATGCAAGTAAAGACACTGAGTGGACAGGCAGATGTCCCCGCCTGACACTGGGCAGAGAGCCTGGGTGGCTATGGGTGAGACAGACACTCTCAAGAGCACTGGCAGCCAGTGCTTTGAAGATTTATTTTGCCATTTCCAAAGTGCTCTCTGAAGCCGGGCAAGGTGGTGGATACCTGTAATCCCAGCTACTCTGGAGACAGAAACAGGAGGAGAACAAGTTTGGGGCCAACTTGTGCAATGTTAGTGAGACTCTTGTCTTAAAAACAAAGATACAAACAAAGGAGCTGGGTGTGCGGCTCAAGTGGTAAGGCACACAATTAAGACCCTGGTTTTAATCCCCGGTACCACAAAGTGTTCTTTGAATAATGATTGTACTCAGGCCTCAAAGCAAGAATGAATAATTAAACATTTGTATCCCCATATCGTAGATCAGAAAACTGCAGTCAGAAAGAAATGACTGGGCTGGGCATCGGTGGCTCGTGCCTGTAATCCTAGCTACTCAGGAGGCTGAGATCTGAGATTCACTGTTCAAAGCCAGCCCAGGCAGGAAAGTCTATGAGACTCTTATCTCTAGTACCACCAGAAAACTGGAAGTGGAGTTGTTGCTCAAAGTAGTAGAATGCTAGCTTTCTGTTGTTGTTGTTGTTTTTTGGTCAGTCATGGGGCCTGAACTCTGGGCCTGGGCACTGTCCCTCAGCTCTTCAGCTCAAGGCTAGTGCTCTACCACTTGAGCCACAGTGCCCACTTCTGGCTTTTTATGCTCATGTGATGCTGAGGAATCAAACCCAGGGCCTCATGTATGTAACATAAGCACTCTACTACGGAACCACCTTCCCAGCCCTAGAGTGCTAGCCTTGAATGGAAGAGGTCAGGGACAGTACCCAGGCTCTGAGTTCAAGCTTCAAAAAAAGAAACAAAGGAAGGAAGGAAGGAAGGAAGGAAGGAAGAGGGAGGGAGGAGGGAGGAACAAAAGGACTGGGTAGTGATGACTCTAAGGCCCAAATCTTTCCAAAAGTACTTGTATCACTGTCTTGGATGTTAGGAAGGTTGAGGCCTAAGAGAGAGAGAAAATGTCCTGCCATGGGGTGTCCAGAACTAGTCACCACTTACCATATTAGAGATGGCAACTGAGAGTAGGCTCACCTGCCAGCACCAGCCATCCCAGCCATGGTGGTGAGGCTCTGTGGGGGTTGGCCCCTCTGCCCTGGGCACTGGAGTGAAGCGCAGCACCTGGGCTGTGTTGCAGCTGGTGGCTCTGGGGCTGCGACCTCCTCAAGTTTATTCTCATGGCTTTCTCTTGTTCCTTCCCCTACCTAAGGTAGAACCCAGCCCAGAAAGGAAAGTGATTGATTGCCCCTTCCCTTCCCTCCCCCCCACCCCCCACTCCCGCCCCGTTCACCCATGTCATCTGTCTTTTGTCCCATCTGAGACCAAAGTTCTGGCTTCAGTAAAGCATAGCTGGTCTTCTCTGAGGGCTTGTCCCATTCATTCATGGAAATTTTAGTGATCGCTTGTTAGGTTGTTTGTACTGGCAGCGATCAATATATTGGCAGAATATAGGCTTGGTCCCTTCCCCTCTCAGCTTTAATGGTGTGTGCTAGCCCTCTGGGCTAGTTTTCCTCACAGATTAGGGACAAGGAAATTCATCCACAAAATAGGCTGACCAAGAGCCCTTCCTGGGCATCTGCCTCTTTACTGTAATTTCTGCACTGACCGTGACAACACACCCCCAAGTGGCTTTAGAGAGTCTTGCAGCCTCTAAATTGTGAAGAAATGGGGCCCCCTACTGGTTAGCCTCGGTTCTGATCCCAATCACCTTTTCTTTTACCCAGAAAAATCTGTGTGTCTCATTCCTTTAGTCAGCAAATACCATCACCATGCTGAGGCTCCTTTCTGGGTGGATCTCATTCATTCACATATGGAGCTGACACCCGCTCTCCGGAAGATAGACAGGAAGCAGATAGTGCCATGTGGGAAAGAAAAGGCTGGGATGTCATAAAAAGCGACAGAGGAAAAGGAGGCTTATCATAGCAGGTGGCCTGTGGAGGACTCTCCGAGGCCAGACATTTGCTGGAGCCTTGGATGAAGAGGAGGGACCAGCCAAATGTATGTGAAGTAGGAAGAACTGAGCAGGGAATCTTTCTTGGGTTCAGGAACAGGATCACTGTGGCTGGATTAGAGTTAGAGTTAGGACAGGCATGAAGTGGAAGAAGAAAGCAGAGGCCTGGGACAGGTAAGGCTGTAGCAGAGCTAGATTCTATAACAAATGTGATTAAATTTGGTAGAAGCCCTTATGGTTCTATTTATATTTTTCTATCTATCTAGCTATCATCTATCTAGCTATCTATCTGTGGTACTGGGGAATGAACTCAGGGCCTTGAAAATTGCTTCCACTTGAGCCACACATCCTAGTACTTTTAGTTTGCTTTTCCAATAGGGTCTCTTGCATTTGCCAAGGCTGGCCTTGGATCTGGTTCCTCCTCTATTTATTTTTATTATATTAGTTATGCATATGGGGGATTTAATTGTCTCCCTCTGTCTCTTTTTTTTTTTTTTGGGTCCGGTCATGGGGCCTGAACTCTGGGCCTGGGCACTGTCCCTCAGCTCTTCAGCTCAAGGCTAGCACTCTACCACTTGAGCCACAGAGCCACTTCTGGCTTTTTTTCTTTTTGCTTATGTGGTGCTGAGGAATCGAACCCAGGGCCTCAGGCCTGCAAGGCAAGTGCTCTACCACTGAGCCATCTTCCCAGCCCCTCCCTCTGTCTCTTGAGAAGCTGAGATTACAAGAATAATTTGTGTATGTGTGTATGCATGCACATGTATGCATGCACATGTGTGCATACTAGAGCTTGAACTCATGCTGTCTGCTTTTTTGCTCAGGAGTCTATAGACTACCCAAGAAAGGCCTGAGGATAGAATTCAGACCTTGCACAGGAAAAAAAGAGGTCTCAATTTTTCATATCCTCTGACTGAAAATGTAGTATTTCCCTTCACTGTCAATGTAGATTGGCCGCAGTTTGTGACAAGGACTTTGCCACTAACAGAATACAGAGGCTTTCATATCCCACTCTAGTCATTGTGGTCGCAAAATATTGTTTTCATTCCTCACTGCTTTGAAATTACAGTTATCATCATAGCTATTGCTGGCTCTTGTTATAAAGAAACTGGCAGATAACTGTGTCACAATTGGAAATATACTTGCATCTCAGTGTAATTCATTCCATTTGCAATTCTATGTATTTTATTTTAAAAATGATTTGAGATTGGGTCTTGCTATATTACCCAGACTGGGCTCAAACTTCATAGGGTCAAATGATCCTCCTGCCTCAGCCTTCTGAGTGCTGGGGCTACATATTTGTGCCATATGCTCAACTTGCTGGTGTGTGTGTGTGTGTGTGTGTGTGTGCGTGTTTAATTCTGAGAAGGGAAATGGGTGTTAGGTTATGTCAGATGCCAAAAACTTCAGAGTGTAAGCTCAGAATTCTATTGTATTAGATCCTTCTGGCTGTTGCTCAAGGAGAATGAGTTGTCCAGGGAAGATGGTCCCGATACATGGGTCAGGCCAGTGACAACAGAGAGAAAGAGAGAGGAGGAAGCTGGTAGGAGGAGGTGGAGATAGACTGGATGGTGGGGAAAGAAATGGGAAGGGATCAAGGCTGAACACTATGACTCAGCCCAAGTAGCTCAATGGGCTCTGGTTAAATGTTCTCCATCTGAACCTCTCACTATGAGACCCTCTGCAGCCTGGGATGCATTTTCCCCATCCTCTGTTGTTTCTTTTCCTGTTGATTCAGAATGAAAATCACAGACACTTGGACACTTGTCTTTCAGACTTCTGAGGAGAATGAGTTGTTTTCACTGAGAGTCATGCTAGGGAGAAACATGAGTTAACAGTTTGTGCGTGTGTGCGTGTGTGCGTGTGTGTGTGTGTGTGTGTGTGTGTGTGTGTGTGTGTGTGTGTGTGTGTGGTGTTGTATTAGGGATTGAACCCAAGGCCTCATGCATGCACTGTATATCATGAGAGCCTTGCCCCCATCTTTTCTTGACTTACTGATGGTCATCTTTCCCCTGTGTCTCTTCCCATTATTCCCCCTCTCCTGTCTAGTCATCTCTTTGTCAAAATCTGCCCTTTTGATCAGACCATCAGCCATCATGGATTAGAGCCCACCCTGCTGACCCATTTTAACTTGATCAGCAACAAAGACCTACTTTCCAAATGAATTCACATGCTGAAGTCCTGAGGCTAGAATTCCAACATCCCTTCTTTTTTCAAACCACAACACTACCAGAGAATTTCCCAAAGTGGTCGTACCAGTTTACATACCCACTATTTGCTGGAGTCATTTAAAGCTAATTCTAGATGTCCTATCATTTGCCTTTGTGGTGTTTTAAGGGAAAGAAAAGGAAACATTGGGTCTGGTTTACATTTTAAAACAAGTCTATTTGTTCTGTGTGAACATACGACAAGACAAATATTTCATCAGGAAGGAAAAGGCAAACAGAGCAAATCCCCCCTGGGGTCATCCAGGTGGGACTTTCTGAGTCCCATGGTTGAGAGTGAGAAGCTACTGGGTGATGTTTGGAACCCCATGGAGCCTGGCTTACTGCCCAGTGTCCAAGTGCCAGGTCTCTGAGTTCAGCCCTATGGGCTCAGCTGATGCAGGGCAGGTAACTCAGGCTCTCTTTCTGTCCATCCACTCCTGTCAGGACATACAGCAGCTCCTCCAGCTTCAGCAGCTGGTGCTTGTGCCAGGCCACCACCTCCAGCCACCTGCTCAGTTCCTGCTGCCACAGGCCCAGCAGAGTCAGCCAGGTAAGACCACCCTTCACAGCCTCCCTGTGCCCCCTTGGATCTGGGCTCCCCTCCCACTTCCGGCTCAGCCTGTGTATTCTTTCTTGGTTCTCCAGGCCTGCTACCGACGCCAAATCTATTCCAGCTACCTCAGCAAACCCAGGGAGCTCTTCTGACCTCCCAGCCTCGGGCTGGGCTTCCCACACAGGTAAGACTGCTCACCGAGTGTGCCAGGCCAGTGGGCAGCAGGGTCAGCTGAGAGTGAAGGGGGAGGTGTGTAGGGGGAGGGTAGATCTCCTCTCTTGCCGGCCCACCCACAGACACAGGAAGCTAAGGGCAGTAGGCCCAACCCTACACTACCAGGGATTTGCTGTGGGAGCTCAGATAAGCCATACTCACTCTCTGAGCTTCCCAGAAACTCTGTGGCAGAGGGTTTTCTGGAGGAGAAGAGGATGAAACTGTTTGTGGCAGAAAAGATAAAGTATAGCGAGTTCTAGGCAATGAGGGACCGACATAGGGTAGCAGTCAAACCTAAACAGGACTGACAGTGAGTGTGAAGGAACAGGGAGTCTGAAGGAAGAGGCTGGAAGGAAAGGGAGGGATCAGAGACAGCAGCCCTGGTTGAACACCTTCCCAGCTGCCCTCTATCTGGCATCCCACCCACCTGCCTGTCCCATCATACTGACCCACCACATGCTGCCCGACCCACAGCCCCCTAAATGCTTGGAGCCACCATCCCACCCGGAGGAGCCCAGTGATCTGGAGGAGCTGGAGCAGTTTGCCCGCACCTTCAAGCAACGCCGCATCAAGCTGGGCTTCACGCAGGTATGCAGTGGGGAGGTGGTTGGTATGAGGGGCTTGGCCACTTGGGCAAGGGGTGTGGATGACTGTGCGGGCATGACCTGCTGGTGGAAGACCCCTCCCTGATTCTCCTTTCCCATCCCCTACCAGGGTGATGTGGGCCTGGCCATGGGCAAGCTCTATGGCAACGATTTCAGCCAGACAACAATTTCCCGCTTTGAAGCCCTCAACCTGAGCTTCAAGAACATGTGCAAACTCAAGCCCCTCCTAGAGAAGTGGCTCAATGATGCAGGTGGGCCTGGACTGAGGCTGGGGATGGGGCTGGAATGGGGGCGACTTGGGGGAGAGCCTCTCACACCCCACGTCTCTTCCTGGGCACAGAGACTATGTCTGTAGACTCCAGCCTTCCCAGCCCCAACCAGCTGAGCAGCCCTAGCATGGGTTTCGATGGGCTGCCCGGCCGGAGACGCAAGAAGAGGACCAGCATCGAGACAAATGTCCGCTTCGCCTTAGAGAAGAGTTTTCTAGCGGTGAGTCCCCACCCCCACCCTCCCCAGGTGTCCCAGTGGAGAGTCATAAGGGACGCCCCGCTAACGAGCCCTCTACCCGTAGAACCAGAAGCCTACCTCAGAGGAGATCCTGCTGATTGCAGAGCAGCTGCACATGGAGAAGGAAGTGATCCGCGTCTGGTTCTGCAACCGGCGCCAGAAGGAGAAACGCATCAACCCCTGCAGCGCGGCCCCCATGCTGCCCAGCCCGGGAAAGCCCACCAGCTACAGCCCCCATCTGGTACCGGGCACAGTGGAAGGGAGGGGCTAGAGGAGCAGGGAGCACAGGCCCAACAGGCAAACAAACCTACTTGGCTGTCCGGAGTCTGGAACAGAGGCCAGCAGAGGAGGCATTTGGGATGGACTGGGATGTGGAGCACAACCACATAAGGACACACTGTTTCCAGAGGGAATTGGGGAGAGGGGGAGGTTGTCTTGTATTTGTTTGAGACAGAATTTCCCTGTGTAGCTCAAGTTGGCCTTGAACTTACTATGTAACCCAATCTGGCCTTGAACACTTAATCCTCATACCTCAGCCTCCCAAATACCGGGACTATAGATGTGCCTCACTACACTCAACTTGAATTATGGGTTTATATGATGGCTATAAGCACCTGTAGATGCAGAGTCACCGAGGCCAACAGAGTTGTCACAGGGAGGGTCACAGTCCTACGGAGATAAATTCATACAGTCTGGATATGCGCAGGTTCATGCCCACACAAAGATTGGGGAGGCACTTATATACCTTGTAGGGTCATCTAAAAGCCCATGAGGGCTAAGAATGTGGCTTGGTGGTAGAGTGCTTGCTTAGCATGCACAAAGCTCCGGGTTTGATTCCTCAGTTCCACATAAACAGAAAAACTCAGAAGTGCAGCTGTTGCTCAAGTGATAGGGCACTAGCCTTGAGAAAAAGAAGCTCAGGGACAGCACCTGGGCCCTGAGTTCAAGCCCCAGAACTGGCAAAAAAAAAAAAAAAGACCCATGAGATATCTTCAGCCACCCACAGCAGACACAACTGAACAGTTTTAATTCTACCTTGTCTATATCCATTGGTGGAAAGGGCTGTGGCACCCAGAAAGGAGTCTTCTACTCCCAGGGGAGTAGAGGAGGAAGGACCACCTGAGTCATAAAGAACAGGAGAGCAAGTGTTAAGCAGCTTTAAGCAGCGCTGTGAACAAGGGTCCCCAAGGCAAAAGATACAGTGTATACAAGGGCCTAGGTATGTGCCCGGCCTGCTTGGACAAACTCCAGTTCAATTTAGTATGGCTCGAACCACAACACATACAAATGGGGTGTAGGTTGGGGAGGGGAAGGAGCTGATACTCCAAGTTTCATGAATTTAAACCATGGGCAGTGAGGAGCGAAAAGCAAGTTTTGAGCTGAGGAAGGACCGGGTCAAGTTCAGACAAGCTCTGGGGTTGATGGAAAGGTGAGACTGGAGGCACAAAGGAGCCCGGTGGAGGACCCCAACACTCTCACAAACACATTTGTGGGAATTTATCCTCATCCTTCCATTGCATATACACACTCATGCGCACACACAGCTCGCCTGGATCAGCAGCTTCTCTTAAAAGGGCAGGCGTGTTTGTTCTAGGTGCATGCAGAGGGCAGTAGCTTATCTCTGAAGAACACAGGGTGGGCAGGACTTTAGTCAACCTGGATAGGGTCAAAGGCGAGCTGGATGAGTTGTGCTTGTGGGGCAGGGTCCTCAGGGCAAATGTGAGGACAAAGAGGATCTAGAGCACAGGGAAGGACAGGTAAGTAACAGTGTACCCAAAGCCTCCTCTTTCCCAGTCCCATGCCAAGGGCAGGATGGCAGAAGTGGGGTACACAGGAGTGTCATGGGGATCGCTGAGAGACAGTGCCTAACCTCCTTTCCTTTCTCCCCAGGTCACACCTCAAGGGGGTGCAGGGACCTTACCATTGTCCCAAGCTTCCAGCAGTCTGAGCACAACAGGTCAGAGTGGGCAGCAGACAGTGAGGGGGATGGGAGAGCACATGCACGGCTGCAGCCTAAGGTTCCCCACCTGCGCCTCTGGTGGGCCACGGACCTCAGGGCTGATGATTGGGGTCGGGTGGGGCATGGGAAGGACGGGGGCAGGCTTCACTCTTCTGTCAGAGCAGCCAGGTTCTGATCTGCTCTATAGTTTGTAAGGAAAGGAAAGGGTTGCTGAGCCGGATGCCAGTGGCTCACACCTGTAATCCTAGCTACTCAGGAGGCTGAGATTTGAGGATCACGGTTCCAAACCAGCCAGGGTGGGAAAGTCCATGAGATTCTTATCTCCAATGAACAACCAAAAGCTGGAAGGGGAGCTGTGGCTCAAGTGGTAGAGTGCTAGCCTTAAGCAAAAGCAGATCAGGAACAGTGCTCAGGCCCAGAGCTCAAGTCCTAGGACTGGCAAGAGAGAGAGAGAGAGAGAGAGAGAGAGAGAGAGAGAGAGGAGAGGGGGAGAGAGAAAGTGAGAGGAGGGGGGGAAGGGAGGGAGGGAGGGAGGGAGGAGAAAAGGGATTGTTGAAAAATAATACACAGGTTTTTATCCTTGGTCTCTGCAAAAGACCCTCGGTGAACTTGAGAAGGTTCTTTGCCTCTCCAAGTATCAGTTTTTCTAAATTATTGTGAATGTGTAATACATACAGAAGATGCATGTGCAAGTATATGCATTCAAGAGTATAGTGGCTGGGAGTATAGCTTGATGGCAGAATGCTTGTCTAGCATGAATGAGACTCTGGGTTCCATCCCTAGCACTGTTAAAAAAAAAAAAAGGACAGGTGCAGTAGCTCATGTCTATAATCTCTGCTGCTTAGGAGGCAAAAGTAGAAGGATTGTGGATTGAGGCTGGCCAGGAAAAATTAAGAAACCTTATAAACATAAAGCAAAAAAAGGGATGTGGACATCACTTAAGTGGTAGAACATCTATATAGAAAGTGCAAGACCCTGAGTTCAAACTCCAGTACTACTTGCTTGCTGGATATAAAATAAACATTATATTGTCCCTCTCAAGTTAAGGTTTGTAAAGTAATAGAGAGAGCCTAGCAGTCCTGACTTAATTCTTACACCCATTTTTTATGAGTTAGGTCCTATAATTATTCCCATTTCCTGGATGAGGTGGCTGAAGACTAGAGAGGTTAAGGCACTAACCCAAGGATACATCAGGGATAGCCACGAATCTCTGTGCCAGCCAAGGCAGGACCTCAGTCCCTCCCCCATAGCCTGTATGCCCATGCCCCTTCTCTGGCTCCTAAGGGATCGTAGTCTTTGCCTCCTGGATGTCCGATTCTTGTACAAGTCAAAAGTGGTTTAGGGTGTGGTAGGCACAGAAACAACTCTCTGGCCCGGGGCATGGGCTCAGTAGGTGGCAGCTGCTCTCACTGTAATTATGTTGACTGCTGTCTATATGGCAGAGTGCTGACCGTGGTACTGGGCTCTGGGATGGGGTGGGAAGGTCCCGATCAATTCTGATTTGAGGAGCCCCAGCATGGGTTAGGGGATAAGCAGCCATTGACCCCAGCTCAAGGGCATGCTGATGACCTCACCTCTGTCTCTCTTTCTCTCTGTGTCTCTGGCAGTTACTACCTTATCCTCAGCCGTGGGGACACTCCACCCCAGCCGGACAGCTGGAGGGGGTGGGGGCGGGGGTGGGGCCGCGCCCCCCCTCAATTCCATCCCCTCTGTCACTCCCCCACCCCCAGCCACCACCACCAACAGCACAAACCCCAGCCCTCAAGGCGGCCACTCAGCAATTGGCTTGTCAGGCCTGAGCCCCAGCACGGGGTAAGTGTACAGTTGCAAGTGGGAGGTTGCTGCTGCTTTAGGGTGGGAGGGGGGTTCCCCAAGTTCCGTGCCAGCCCCTCAATCCCCCGCTAATGCCTCTGCTTTGCTCTTGCAGAAGCACAATGGTGGGGTTGAGCTCCGGGCTGGGTCCAGCCCTCATGAGCAACAACCCTTTGGCCACTATCCAAGGTGCGTGCTGCTTCATGTCACTCTCACCGCCACCAGTCCTGCCCCTCCCAGGGCCTCGAGCCCCCCATTGCTGCTCCAGCCATGCCATCTTGCCCCCCGCTCACTGCATCGCTCGCCTCTTCATCCCCATTGTGCCTTTGGGGAAGGTGTGAGGGGTGCTGATGGGGGTCAGTGGGACAGACGGGAGGCACTCGGCCAGGACGTTGGGAGGCAAAGCTCTCCCCTGGCTTGGCGTGTCCCCAGCCCGGCCTCTTTCTCTCCCCACCAGCCCTGGCCTCTGGTGGAACCCTGCCCCTTACCAGCCTTGATGGCAGCGGGAACCTGGTGCTGGGGGCGGCCAGCACAGCCCCAGGGAGCCCCGGTCTGGTGACCTCGCCACTCTTCTTGAACCATGCGGGGCTGCCCCTGCTCAGCGCCCCCCCGGGTGTGGGCCTGGTCTCAGCAGCAGCTGCAGCTGTGGCAGCCTCCATCTCCAGCAAGTCTCCTGGCCTCTCCTCCTCTTCTTCATCCTCGTCCTCCTCCTCCACTTGCAGTGAGGCAGCAGCACAGACCCCTGGAGGTCCAGGGGGGCCCGAGGCAGGGTCCAAGCCCGAGTGAGGGCCCACCATGCCTCCCCTCCCACACCTCTGACCCCCCACTTCTGTTCCCTGCCTGGAAGAGGGCAAGGAGGTCAGTGGTAGGGGTGTAGCGGGTCCTCGGAGCAAGAGTGACAAGGGAGGAAAGACCAAAAATCCAACCAAAAAAAAAAAGGAAAGAAACCAACAAAAAAGAAAACCAAAAATAATCACAACAGAAACCAGCTGCCCCAAAGGAACCAGAGATGAAACACAAAAAAACAAAAAACACACAAAAAAAATCCCTCACAAAAATCAAACAAACCAAAAATCAGTTGTGAGCCAGAGTTCATAATGCTCACTCTCACGGCTACGACACCAAATAAGAACCTCAGCCAGGAGCGGAGCAGCCTCCGGCAGGCCGGACCTCACACCGCCGCAGAGCCCTGGCTGTGGGGCCCACTCCTCACCTGCCTCCCCCCAAGATGGGGGAACAGAGAAGGAAAAAAAAGAATGTGCCAGCCTACTGGCTGCCCCAACCCTGAGCCAGCGGAGACAGGGCACAGCTTGGGGCAGAAGGCCCAGGGCCCAGAACCATCTGCCAAATGTCCTTTTCCAAAAGGTGAAAGAAAAAAAAGGGCCTGAACAACCTTACACCAAATATTCAGTAGCTTCATCCAAAGGATGTACAGAATTTTTAGCGTTGTGCTCAACAGAATGTGTCCCTACCATACCTCCCCCCTTCCCTCTGGCCCCTAGCTCTCCACACCTGGGCAGGGGGTCTTGCTTTAACCTCCTTCCTCCCTCCTAGCTGGGGGAGAGTTCAGGGGGAAACCCCAGGGGTGACTTTCTGCCCCCTATACCTTCCTCTTTCTTCCCTTTGACGGGTGAGCTAGGCCATTTTGCCAAGTTCCAGTTCTCACAAGTCTCCCCCCCCCCCCCCCCCAGCCCTGTCACTCTCTTCCGCTCTGGATCTCCCTCTTCCCCGGCCAAGGGGAAGGTACAGCTTTCAGACAAAAGGGGGATGAGGGATGAGGTGGGCGTTCAAGTTGTCTTTCTTTCCATCCTGTCTGTTTCCCTGAAAAAAAAAATTTCATATTCCAGTGCCTATCCGTGGGATCCTTCACGTTCTTTGACATTAACCAGAAACCAAAAATATAACTCGCCTCAGCCCACCCTGTGCCCCTCTGACACTGGCAGATGCCTCCCCCTCCCATGCACACACGCACGCACCCAGTGGTGAGTTCATTCAGATGGCATCCCTATCAGGGTCCATGTGGCGGGGACAGTGCCATGACCTGTGGTCCCCATCCAAGAGGGCGCTGTGGTGGCCACCATTCCCATGAGACCTCCACGAGGCTTGGCTGGACCCCGTGTTTGCCCAGCCCTGAACACATCTCAGTGATGGACAAAGGAGAGATGTGCTGCTGGGAGCCACCTTGCCTCCTGCAATTGTGGAGACCAACAAAGTTTTGAACCAAAAAACAAAAACAAAAAAACCACAAAAAAAACCCAGAAAACCAAACAATAAGTTAAAACTAGAAAAAAAAAAAGAATTTATAGATATATATAGAGCTATATATATTAAAAGGGAAAGAAGACAAGAACCCTTGAAGAATAAGAAGGAGCCGCAAGGTGGAGCCAAGCCCTGCACAGTGGTCCAGTCTCTTGGTCCCCAAGGCTACTGGAAGGATGGATGCTTCTTTCTCTTCACAAATACCTCATGGACGTCGTCTTCGGGAAAGCCGGAGGGAGGCGGCTGGGGCAGGACCTGTCCCTCAGCCAGGGTGGATGGAAGCGGGTGGGTGGGGTTGAGAGAGGGTGTCAGGGACAAGGGTGAAGAACCCCAAACTTCCCGCCCCCCCCAACCAATTGAAAAAGCTTTAATAGAAAAAAAAAAAAAAGACAGGAACAAAAGTTAGGAAGCAAAAAAGAATGGACAAAAGAAAACTAACAATTTTAGGGTGGTTTGATTCCCCCCTTGATTTCTATTCTCTTCCTCCTCTGTCTCTCCCCCCCACCCTTTCCATTTCCTCTCTTCACCTTTCCTCTTCTCATTTTTCTATCCCTCTTCTCTTACTTCTCCCAATCTCGATCTTTCTGTGTCTCTCCTCAAACCAAAGTGTTGCTGTGAAGGACACGAGCCATGGAAATCAGAGTGGCCCTGCCCCTGGCTGGGCAGGTGCCAGAGGGAGGGGAGAGCCGGTGATGGCTGATGCCAGTAGCTTCCACACTGGACACTCTGGAGAGAGGCAGTTGGAGCCCTAGGCCTCAGCTTTTCTTCTGGTCTCCCTTCTCCCACCCAGGGAAACCAAACTGTTGGGCTGGGCCACAGAGGCAGCAGAGACTCCAGGGCTGCTGCAGGGGCCTGGGGTGCCTTGATTGGGCAATGGAAGAACGGCCCCTCCCACCTTGGGCCCGCCTCTCTGGAATGGAAACATCTCTCCTCACCAACTCCTGCGGCCCTTGCCCAACCTCTGAGATTTGTCCATTTCACTTTCCTGAAGAGAGGCTGGCAAGAGGGCCCCCCGGGCCCAGCTCGAGGGCGGAGAGGGGGCCCAAGGGCTCCTGACCAGATAGGAAAGACATTTGAGCAAAGCAAAATGAGAGCAATTACGACCAAAAACCCCCTCTGAGAAGACAGGCAGCATGGAAGGCATGGTGGAGATGACTCAAACAAAAACTATGATCTAGACCAAAAAAGAAAAAAAAAAAAACAAAAAAACAAAAAACAAAAAAACAAAAAAAAAAAAAAAAAAAAAGGAAAAAGAAAAAAAAAAAAAAAGGAAAGAATATCCAGGACTCACCACCACCCACTTCATCCTGCTTCTTCCCATCCAGTCCCATCGCCTGGATCCTCTCTCCACCCATGTGGGAGGGTGGGGCAGAGAGGAGGAAGCAAGGACAGGGATGGGGTGGATCAGTTGGGGGTGATGGGGATCCCCCCATCCAACCCCCACAACTGGGAAAAGGAAAAAAAAATTCCTGGGAGGGGGAAAAAGAAATAACCAAATCCCAAGCTTTAACTACAGCTGTGAAACCAAATATTGGGAAGAGGGTGGGAGGGAGGGAGGGGCAGGTGAGCCCCAGGTCTCCCCCCTGGGCCCCTCTCCCCCGAGGACTCGAGATAAGGCACCAAATACCTCATTGAACTTTAATGTTAAAAAAAAAAAGGAAACCAAATATCGTTGGCTGGGGGCCAGCCAGGGCAAGGGGCTGGGGGGGCTGAAGGGAGCCAGGGCTGGGAAAGTGGTGGGAAATCCTCTCCCCCACCCCCACCTGCCCCTTCCACTCCAGCCCTCCCCGTGTCAACTCCGGGAAACAAAACTATCTCATTGTTTTTATTTTGTGGTCTGTACAGAGCCTATGTCCGTGTGTCTGTGTGTGAGAGAGAGAGCGTTGGGAGGGCTGGGGAGCTTTGCGTGGGCATGGGGAGGGAGACCCCAGGCCAGGCTTGGGCTAGCATAGATGTCGTCAGGTGGAGGCTCAGGGGCCTGGGCTTAGAGAGAAGAGGTGAGTGGACTGGGACAAAAACTCCTTTTACCTTCTCCCTGACCTCCTACCCTAGTGGTGCGCCTACCATACTGGTGGGCCTTTTAATTGTGCCAAAAAAATTAAAATTTAAAAAAAAAATGCCAGTAACTAAACCACTTCTCTCTGTTCCCTTCTGGGGGACAGGGTGGAGGGCTGAGGAGGAGGAGGGATCTGGGTAGGGATGGGGATCCCAAGGCCCTGTGGAAGTCAGGGCCAAGATCCAGAAGGAGAAGGTATGAATTTCCCACACATCTCCTCCTCTGGGAAGGTCAAGAGCGTCTCCAAGCCAAAGCATCCTGGGAAGATCCTCAAGGAACTGGCCAGGTTGGGGTGACCTCTTGACCTGACCCATTTTTCTCATCCAGTCCACTCCTAGGGTGCCTCTCTCTTCCTCTAGGCCAGGGTAGGGGGACTGAGAGAGTGAGATAGACAACAAGATTGAGACACGCGGGCCCCACCTGTCTGAGTGGGAAAGGCAAGTGGGGGAGATAAAGGCCTCCAAGAGAAAAAAGAAACAAACCAAAGATTTAACCATTAAAAACCCACAGACAACTCCGCTACCTTTTTATACGTTGGGAAAAAAAGTGAAAAAAAAAATAAAAATATTAAAAAAAATTACACAAACTCCAAGCTGCAGTTCCTTCGTGCAGCTTAAACTTTGACCTCAGCAGTCTCCAAAGCAAGACGACGATGACAAAGGTGGAAAAAAAAAAAAAAAGGAGAAAAAAGAAAAAATAATGTATATTTTTAAGTATTTGTCCTTGAGATGTTAGCTCCTTGCTAAACAAACCAAAAAAGAGGAGCAAAAAGAAATTTTTTTTTGAGAAGTATTGCTGAGATGGAGACAACTTATTTACTATGTCTGTGAACCCTCCCTCTGCCTCCTTCCCCTTCCTCTCCCCTTTCCTCTAGCCCGGCTGCCCTTCCCCAAACCTGTCCCACAAGCCCTGGGGGGCTCGGTATTTATTTATTTATATAACTGCAGGGTGACTGGATAGACAGGCCATCTTTCATCAGCAATTCCAGCTCCTTGGGGCCTCTTAGCCCACTACTGCCACCATTACTTCTTAAATCCAGGGCTGCACTGGGGCAAGGTAACCACCCCACCTTGTAAAGATCTGATTGGTTCAGCTCTTTTAGTGGGAGAGGGGCTCTCTCACCTATTTACTTGAATGATTAGGATGGAAGGTGGAGTGGAAAGAGACCTGGTGAAGGTGGCATGTAGTGGGCAAGGGAGACCAAGAAGCGGCATCCAAAGAGTAGGCCCTGGAGCAACCTGCCTTTCCTCCATTCCCATCAAGTAACCCCCACTTTCAGTTGTCTCACCCCTGTGTTGATAGCCCCTCTCCTCCCCTCCCGTTCCCCCCTTCCCTGTCTCTTCTCGTGGTAGCGGGTTAGCGTTTCAGTGTTCTTAACTCCAATCTGCTTGTTCATTGTACAATGTGCTTCTTTTAAGGCCCCATTTTTGTAACTTGAGTGTGTCATTCATCCGAACAAACATCAAAAAATAAAAATTTTAAAAATTGTACAGAGAAATGATGTCTGTCTTCTTTTGGTCTGCTAACTGAGAAGGGTATGAAGTAGAAATAAACATGTAAACTGGGGAGGAGACTTATTTTTGTTCAAACACTGAATGTTACAGAACTTTTTTTCTTTTCATCAGCCAACTAAATCTAGTAGGCACTGATGGCTTACACCTATAATCCTAGTTTCTCAGGAGGCGGAGATCTGAGGATCATGGTTCTAAGCCAGTCTGGGCAAAGTCTGTGAGACTCTTATCTCCAAATACCTACCTGCTCTAGCCAGAAGTATAGCTCAAGTGGAAGATTGCCAGCCTCGAGGGACAGAGTACCTGGCCATGAGTTCAAGCCCTTTGAACTCAACACATTTGCACATAGGGAGTATTCTCAGAAGTCTACTACAGGCCTCAGAAAAGATCACTCCATTATCACAGCTATTTTTTTGGGGGGGAGGATCCGGTCGTGGGGCCTGAACTCTGAGCCTGGGTGCTGTCCCTCAGCTCTTCAGCTTAAGGCTAGCACGCTACCACTTGAGCCACAGCGCCACTTCCAGCTTTTTTCTTATGTGGTCCTGAGGAATCGAACCCAGGGCCTTGAGCATGCAAGGCAGGTGCTCTACCACTGAGCCACCTTCCCAGCCCCTACAGCTATTTTTTTATTGTAAGCACTTTTATCCTATGGCTATCCAAAGTGCCCTTAGGTTTTTATTTTCCCCACTCCATTCCAGTATCTTTTTGGTCGGTCCTGGGGCTTGAACTCTGGGTTTGGGTGCTGTCCCTACACTCTTCAGCTCAAGGTGAGCTCTCTACTGCTTGAGCCACAGTGCCACCTCTGGTTTTCTAGTGGTTTATTGGAGATAAGAGTCTCACGGACTTTCTTGCCCGGGCTGGCTTTGAACCGCAATCCTCAGATCTCATTCTCCTGAGTAACTAGGATTATAGGTGTGAACCACCAGTGTCCGGCTCAGTCCTTTTTCTTAATTGAACCTGATCTTGTTGTTGTTGTTGGTTGTGGGGCCTGAACTCTGGGCCTGGGCACTGTCCCTCAGCTCTTCAGCTCAAGGCTAGTGCTCTACCACTTGAGCCACAGCACCACTTCCAGCTTTTTCTGCTTATGTGGTGCTGAGGAATTGAACCTCTTGCATGCAAGGCAAGCACTCTATCACTGAGCCACCTTCCCAGCCCCTCAACCTGACTGTTTATTGTAAGGATGAATCTTCTAATCATTCTAAGTACTTATTTGACAGGACTTTCAGGACTTTACAGTTTGAGAGGGGTTATTCAGGAATGAATTTTCTCCAAGGCTCTAGGGAGATGCGACATTCTGGAACAGTGGCACAAGTACATCCTGCAGGGTACCCAGTTATTGAAGACAGTCCCCATGATCAACATGCTTAACAAAAAACTACTTATGAAAACTGCTCTTCATTAGGAACTGTTAGGACATCAAATAGGTGAGTGGGTTTTTCTTTGTAAAATGTTTAGTCCTGACTTCTAGGCCTAGTTCTACTTACTGCCTATATGTTCTTGGTCTTTCCTCTTTCAGCCCTCTTCTCGTGCAAGCAACAGATTGGTAATTTTCAAACAGGTTCCCAGGGCCTCAATGCCCACAGGAAAATAAGCTCAGTAAGGGTAGGTCTTGGGCCTCCTTTTCCACAAGCTTTTCAATACAGGCATCTTCTCTTAAACCTCTTTGTAAGGACTGAGAATATGGCTTAAGTAGTATAACACTTGCCAAGCAAGCATGAAGCCCCAAGCTCAATACCAAGTACTGCACAAACAGCCAAGAGCTCTTTCCAACAGAAGGATCTGGCGTAATGAGTGAGGGTGTCTCAAGGCTAGCACAGCAAGAGCATTCCCACCCACACTGCCCATCTCCTGTCTCTAATGCCCTTCTCTGACTATGTAAAAGGAAGCAGAGCGGTGAGAAAAGGGTGATTAAAACAAACGAAACCAGACAAATTCAAGCTGAGTTGAACTGACCTTGGGCAAGTGCCCTTAATGTTTGACTTCAGAGGCCTTCCCTGCAAAATGTTCTCTTCACGGGATCACTATAAATGTTATTCAAAATAATGCAGGGCATATGACACAATCAAATACTGGTCAAACACCCAGCACTCCTCCCTGACAAGAAAAATCTAGTAGTGGAGCCAAAGTTCAACTCTAGGGGGACTTCAGGCACTTCCCCTATGATGCTTCCTACCCTAGTCCCACACGGTTCAGACTTTCCTCTAACTCCACAGCTGGGTCTAACCCAGAAGTCATTCTCCTCTACAAGCCTAGAGACCATGCTCAATGTGAGTCTACACTCTGGGATCCAGTTAGAAAACCCTGGGGGTATAGCTATGGTCCTCATCCAGCCATAAGTGGAGGGACAAGGCTAGTACAATTCTCAGTGTGCTAGGTGCTGGTAGATCATGCCTATAATCCTAGCTACTCAAGAGGCTGAAATTTGGGCATCTCAGCCTGACAGGAAAGTCCATGAAATTCTAATCTCTGGGGCTGGGAAGGTGGCTCAGGGGTAGAGCACTTGCCTTGCATGCCTGAGCCCCTGGGTTAGATTCCTCAGCACCACATAAGCAAAAAGAAAAAAGCCGGAAGTGGTGCTGTGGCTCAAGTGGTAGAGCACTAGCCTTGAGCTGAAGAGCTGAGGGACAGCGCCCAGGCCCAGAGTTCAGGCCCCATAACTGGACCACCCCCAAAAAAAGAAAGAAATTCTAATCTCCAATTAATCACCAGAAAATAAGAAGCAGGGTTGTGGCTCAAAGTGGCAGAATGCTAGCCTTGAGCAAAAGAACCCAGGAACAGCACACAGGCCCTGAGTTTGAGCCCCACCTCAGCACAAACATCTTTAAGCTTTTCCAGAAGGCTGTGAGGACCTCTAGTGGCCAGAGAGCGGGTTGCCCATACCTAGCACCAGGAGTCTCCTTTCTGAGCCAGCCTTGCGGGCAGGCTGCCTTTGCTTCAAGGTGCTAAGAATGCGGCCAGGCCAAGTCTAAGAAGTGTGGGCCCCGACTCCCAAATCCACCCTATAGCTGAGCCTGACCAAAACACATAAAAATGTCCAACTCAGTCTTTATTGACTGCTTCACTTTGCGGCCAACAAATAGGTGTGTGGGGGACACCTTTATGCAAAGCAAGGACCCCCCAGAACACCCACCTAAGAGAATAGATCCAATTACAGCACTTACATGGTGGTAGGAGGGGAGAGGGTACAGTATATACAAACAAGGGGAAGCTAGAGAGGCCTTCGGCAATGCCATGTGGCGACATGGGAGTAGGGCACTCAGCCACTGATCTGGACCCCCTCAGCCTCAGCCAGAGGGTAGATCTCAATGGCCTCCACCAGGGGCAGGGCCTCCACTGCAGTCTCCATCACAGCCAGGCCAACAGCAGCCTCCGCCTCCGCCAGCTGCTGGCGCACAGCTGCCTGATGCTGCTGCTGGTGAGTCTTGCGATGCTTCCAAAGGTTAGAGAAGGAGCGGTAGCTCTTGCCACAGTCGGGACAGGAGTAGGGCCGTTCACCCGTGTGAATGCGACGATGTTCTGCCAGGCGCATGGAGATGGCGAAGGCCTTGCCACATACTTCACAGGCAAAGGGCCGCTCCCCGGTGTGCAGGCGCCGGTGGTCTTTCAGGTGTGTGCTCTGCCGGAAGGCCTTGCCGCAGTCGGGACATGGGTAGGGCCGCTCGCCTGTGTGGATGCGTCGGTGCACCTGCAGCGACGTCTCGGTGCTGAAGAGCTTCTTGCACTCGCTGCACTCCAGGCCCCGGCGTCGGGCAGGGGCTGCGGGGGCTGTGGAGGCTGCACCTCCCAGGGATGCGGGAGAAGGAACTGGTGTGCGGGTGGCTCTTGGGGCCCTGGGAGCTGGGGGCTCCTTAGCCAGGACCTCTCCGGGCCCAGCGGCGGCATGGGCTGCCTCGTGGGCCTGCAGTCGAGCAGCTGAGCCCACTTTCTTGCCACAGGTCCCGCACTCGTAGCGCCGGGGGGCCTGGGCAGCGGCAGCTGCACAGCGGTGCTCCCGCAGGCGCAGCGAGGACGGGAAGGCAGCTCCACAGGACGGGCACCGGTGGGGCTGACGCCCCGCGTGGGCCACGAGCTGGTGTACCTCCAGCAGCCGGCGCAGCAAGAAGGAGCGGGGACACTCGCGACACTTGTAGGGGTACTCGCCCGTGTGGTGGTAGCGGTGCATGAGCAGGCGGTAAGGGCGGTGAAAACGCACCCCACACTCCTGGCAGCGGTAGGGGAAGTGCTGGGCGTGGACCAGGCGGTGCTGCCTCAGCGTGGAGC